GAGCCCCTGCCTGCACACATGAAGCAAATGCCAAGAGTCCAAAACACATGAATCCGTAACGTCCGTCCTCTCTTCACCATGACCCTCACCTTTAATTTCCAGCATCATATGCTTTCCTCTGTCCTTCACACCCAGTCATGTAAACCCCATAGGGCAGATCAAACGCCGACCCTCCATTGCACATCCTCCCATTTTAAACACACACTGGCCAGCTGCTATCACCAGGGGGTGCATGTCTGACACCCCAAAACAAAGTGACAGGAAATCGTCAGAGGAAACATGCTGTGTTGTGATTGACAGATCTTGTCCTGGCACTGGCTGTCTGTAGCAGGTATAAGCTGAGTCACTTGCTGTAGGCTGCAATGGTATGAGCGAGAAGAATTTAAAGGACAACTCCGGCGCAAAATGAACCTTTGGTCTAATTACACATTGTTACCTAGTCAACCGTTATCTGCGATTTTTTTTCATGATTGCTGAATGTAAATAGTTTTATCTATAAAAACAGTTTAGCCTATAATGCTAGTATAACGCTAGTCTATAGGGCATAGAGCAATGACAAATAAAAATCGCTTTTTATTACCACTAACAAGGCTCAAAATAGCCCCACAGTAACACGGTAGCACAATAAGGATCCATACATTCAAACCGAAGCATTGAGAACGTTGTCAGTGTCCATACCGTTTAATAAGAAGATATTTTATACACACAGTCAACTTCACGAATACAGGAAGAAGCCATCTTTAAAAAAATAGTCTCTACCAGTCGATCTACGAACGCCGATCCAAGTGCGCTGGTGAGATGTGAATAAAGTGATAATGTGAGCGCGAACAGTAGGCAACATGTACATATTAAAGAGAAGAAAATGGTTCGTGTTTGTGTTTCTTCCGGAAACAACCGACCATATAAGATTCTGCACAGTTCAGCGCACTTGGATCAGCGTTCGTAGATCGACTGGTAGAGACTATATTTTAAAGATGGCTTCTTCCTGTATTCGTGAAGTTGACTGTGTGTATAAAATATCTTCTTATTAAACGGTATGGACACTGACAACGTTCTCAATGCTTCGGTTTGAATGTATGGATCCTTATTGTGCTACCGTGTTACTGTGGGGCTATTTTGAGCCTTGTTAGTGGTAATAACAAGCGATTTTTATTTGTCATTACTCTATGCCCTATAGACTAGCATTATACTAGCATTATAGGCTAAACTGTTTTAATAGATAAAACTATTTAGATTCGGCAATCATGAAAAAAAATCTCAGATAACGGTTGAATAGGTAACAATGTGCAATTAGACCAAAGGTTCATTTTGCGCCGGAGTTGTCCTTTAATGTGATTTAAAGCTCCAGGGCTCACAAACCGACACCAAACCCTGTCTTTCGATGTCTGATGGAGTTAGTTGAATTAAAGTCACTAATAAATCCTAGTTCACACTACATGATTTTAAAACGTTGGGCTAAACTGTGCGGTTCACACTACATGACTTGCTCTCTGTGAAATCAGGAGTGTTCAAGTTGTTGAGCTGTTCACACCACACGACAACATCCGCAACAGGAGGTTACGCACTACACGAGTTGATACCAAAACTCTGTCACGAAAAATCATGCGAAAACGAACTTTTGCAAATCGGGCTTAAAATCATGTAGTGTGAAGTGAACTAGGCTTTACATGCCTGTGTGTGTGTGGTCTCAGTTTGAGCTAGCAGAATGTGAGCTAATTACTATGTGAACAATTAAAAACAGTTTGAAGTCTTTCAAATCTGGCACTTGGTGTCGGCTTGCTTCCCAGGAGTGTGTTAGTTTAAACGTCTGCATATTCACACAGTTCATACTTGCTTTTCCCGGTTCACTCAGACAGAATAAAAACAAGGAATTTACAGGCTGAGGGAAACCGAAAAACATTCAATTGGAAAGTAACACATTATTTCCCCCTTATTTCTGCAGCCGCTGTTGTGAACTTGCCCTGTGAGTGTTGGGATGGGGCGTCTGCCAAATGTTGGGGGTGAAACTTTTACACAAACTCACCTTGAAGTGCTTTTACATTCACTGAAACAAAAAGCCACCTTCAGTGCAGTTCTATGGCACTGCTCCACACAACCCATTTAAAATCAGCGACTATTGCCAGTGGCATAGCTGAGATCAAACACTGTGAAATAACTACATGACTGTTTTTAGTTCTGACTGGATTGTATCGAAGTTGTTTTTGTTTCATGAATTACCCATGTATGATTGTAATCTAATATCCAGAGGATAAATTTGATGTACACTATCAGTAATTATTTCACAACTGTAAATTGTGGTCAGAAAAGGAACTGCTGGAAACATTGTAGATTTTTTTTTCTTTTTAGACAATGAGAGATTGAAAAATGTATGTCTTGTATTCAAGGTCAGCTGAGACTGACCTTGAAATGAATTATTGAAACCGTATTGAAGAACCTTTGCCTGAATGGATAGAGTTTGAGGGGGGATTTTGCCTAAATCTCACCCCAGAGACAAATGAGAAATGTCTTGTAGATGGCGTTAATCTTGGAGGGAAAGGAGTATAGTAGGCCTGCTGGAACGAATTCTGAAATTCGAATATAATTTGAATATTTAAAAAAAATCAATACTATTCGAATGCTGAAGTTACTGTTAGAATATTGCTTTTATATATATATATATTTTAAAATGTTTCTTTTATATGCAATCTTGCCTTTTCGCCGCCTTGGCGAATGCCTTTGTTTCGTCTGATGATCAATAAAGTTTTTGAATCGTAACACCAGTGTGCACGTTATCCATGGTGTATCATCATAACAACTGTCAAAAATGGTAGCCTAAATGTTTAACGACGTTAAAAGCGCCCTTGAAGCGAAAAACGCAAATATCTCAACGGATTCGGTGTGCATCAAACTTGTTGCAATCGTGTAGTTGAACTGAAAACAATGATTTTCAGAATTTTCGGTGGTGTTTTAGTGGAGATATCAGCCGAAAACTATCGGAAGCGCTTCAACCATATTCAGCATGAATAAAATGTGTATTAGATGTCTCTCTAGTGGACCGAACGTGTAACAGCACTCACATGCTATAGTGGCATTGGCGATCCATAAGCATGTGTAATGTCGTAAATACTGATAATAGGATCAATTTTAGCATTTAATATTCGAATATTAAATACAATAAGGAATGCAATTTGAATAGTATTGTAGAGGAAGATTGACAGCCCTGGAGTATATAGTGTGCTGTTCTTTGGCCAGTACTCAGATCATTAAACAATAACAATGCTGTTGAAATTTAATATGGAAAGATGTCTCATACATTGCTATTACTGTAGCCTACTTATCACAAACAGAGAGGCAAGCTGTGGATGTTTAATCTAATATTTGGATGGATGGAGATGGTGAGACAATGAAAAGGGAGGTAATGTGAAGTTACACGGAGGAACAGGCGATGCTGAGTGGCTTTTCATAGTCGCTGAGCTGCAGTGAAGCCTGATTCAAGATGACTTTCATATTAAAGCGAGTCACTGGGATTCAGATTCCCTCTTGCTCTCTTCCCTGGATTCCTTCACCACAAACCATGTCAGATTTCCTCTCTTCCCGCTCCTCTGTTTGCTCTACTTCTGCCTCTCCCTAGTATCCTGTCTTTTTGTGTTTGTCTTGTTCTTTGACTTTCTGTCAGTTTCATTTTGTCATTTGTTCACAGTGAGGGATGAAGCATGTGGAGATACTCTGAGACTCAAGGGGCCTTTCTCTCTGTCTCAAAGTTTGAGCGTCTCGTTCAAAATCTAGAGTGTATCACAATCCTATGCTTATGCATTCTTGGTTAAGTAAAACCGTCCACCTTATTATCTACTCAGCAGTTCCCATCAGTAATCCAGCCAGTCCTTGTTATGTAACCCCTTTTGTATGCAGCTGAATGTGGGCAGAATCCTAATCTTACTTTCAGCTAGATCTCAGGTAATTGGACGCTTCACCCTGCTGACCCAACCTCTCCATCTGTTATAGCTGTCATGGGACCATGGTAATGGTTTTCATGGCTGGTAAATTTGTCAGCACCTGTCAAAGTGTCAGGGGGCGTAGTCATATAGTAGTAGTAGCATTGGGCTTTGCGTGACTGTTGATAAACACTTACTTGTCTAGTAAACTACATCTGACTTTCACATTTTCAGACTTTTGGTTTGCTCCTTTACGTCCACAATTTACGTCATTTGTTCTTTTACTTTTGTCAGTTGGTGTAAATACTCATTCACACATCATTTGCAAGTAATATCTACATCTATCAGGGAACAATATTGGCCAGCTGCTAAGTAGAACTAGGTGTTGTAGCTGCTTGTGCAAAGATTTTGGTAAATTATTTTCTTGACTGTATATGAAGAGTTCAGATGCAAAAGCCTCTAAATGCCATTTGAAATTGTCTTCTAGAATGATCATTTTTATCAAGCTTGTATATTTAAGTTCAGTAATTTCACTTAAATGACAGTTAATAGGTAATCTTCATTGCCATTTAAGTGAAATTACTGAACTTAAATATACAAGCTTGATAAAAATGATCATTTTAGAAGAAAATTTCAAATGGCACTTAGAGGCATTTGCATCTGAACTCTTCATATTTAAAAGGTATTAATACAGAATATCTGCCAGGAAGAGGAATAGAGATTAGCCCCAAGGGAGTATGAGAAATCCCCATCTGAGAACCGATCACCTCACTTTCTCTCTCACACTAACCTATTTCTCTCCGTGTCTCTTTTTCATCCTACTCCCTTTTTCTTATTTTAGTTTCAGTCAGCTTTTCTCTGCATTTTTCTCTCAAAACTGCAATCCCCTTGAGCAAAAAAACATCACACTATTAGAAAAAAGGTTTGGGAGAAGTTGGGGCTCCAAAGTGCTTAGAGTAAGTGGTATGTAGGGAAAGGAAAAAAAGATCACAAACCCGCCCAAAAACAGAATGTTTTCATATGTTGTACATAAGTATCCAGATTAAATGAATACCAGACTAATTTTCTTTTTTTCTTGCCTTTTTGCAGGTCTGTGATTTTGAGTGGCCTTTGAGCTTTATGATTGTTCCAAAAAGATTAGGGAAGGTTAGTCCTTTCCTACTAAAGAAATGAGTGTGAGAGGAGGAAGCAACAGCAGCGTGGAGCTTGTCCATCTCAACACCTCCTCACAGAACACCAGAAGTCTCGATCCAGGATGCTTTCTTCCCCACAACCCCTGCCCTCATCTTTGGCCCTGAGACTACAGTGGGCTCCATGAACATGTACAGAGATACAGGGGTGTGTGCCACCCCTCTTCCTCCACCCCATCTCCGTCTACCCCTCCATAATGGCCACTCTTCCATGGGCGATCCAGCACCACCCCGCGTGTCAGTGCCCAAAATGGGGGTTCGAGCTCGGATTGCTGAGTGGCCTCCACGCAGGGCACTGTCAAGAGAATCGCTGCTTGAGAATGGCCAAGGCAATCATCCGGATGACGTCAACAGTGAGGATGGAGGTGTGACTAGGTTGCCACAGCGAGTAACCAGGGATGGTGACTTCCTTGAATCAGGTCCGAGGCCTCCAGGCACACCACCAAGGTTTCGGACTTCTGTATTTGCTCCCCTCCGGCAGCGCTCCAACAGCGAGATTACATTAAGTGAGCAAGATGAATCGGAGGTCGAAAGTCGCTTGTTCCGGGAATATGGCAGTACCTCTTCCATCAACGTACAGGCTGTGTCTGAGCAAAGCTTCTTTGACATGCTCAATCAGTTCCAACAGGAGCGGCCAGACCAGCGTAGCACAGCCCCTGCCAAGCTTGGGGAGCTGCTTGGTGCTTCTTTAGAGGGACCGTCTTCCCATGCCTTCTTGTCAACACCACAGCCCGACGACCACCCGGAGAATCGTGTACGCAAAAAGAGTGGGGGAACAGAGTCATCCCTTGGCACCTCCTCTTTATTCCGCAAACTCCGTAGCGCCAGTCGGGGTGAAACGGAGAATCCACGAGGCGATGCGGATGACGCACGGCCCCCCGAGACATTGTCTTCCAAACCCTGGCTATGTGTGCGAAGTTTTGCCCACTATGACTCTCAAAGCGTTCTGTTTGACTTGCACGAGGCAGCAGCTCGGCGTAGCTACGCCGCCCAACGGCGGAATACGGCCACCGGAGCTTCGGCTGCCTCTTCGGCTGCTCTCTCTTTGGCAGTTTCCAGAGCTATTGCTCTGGGGGGAGTGGAGCCCAACTTTTCTAGCACTGATGACCTCAGTGTCAGAGACCTATCAGAAGGATCAACCCTAGGACTGGAACATTCGGAGCAAGGTGGTCCAGCTAGCATTAACCCCAACTCTCAGCAACAGTTGTTGCTGAGCTGCCCGCACTTTCTCAATGAGACCGGAAGCTGTGGGGAACGTAACGTCAGCTTCTTGAGCTCGTGGGCAGAGCGAGGAGAGGCTGCTGTGGTGGAGGCTCAGCTACATCTTCGCTGCAGTAATGCCAGTGTGTCCAAACTGGAGGTACTTCCAGAAGATCGGGCCACCAGGTTAGAGAGACTGCAGCAGCACTGCATCGAGCATGTTGACCTGGGTGCCAAATACTACCATGAGCACTTTTTTGGGAAAGGTAGGACATTTATGGCTTCTATCTAGATATAGGAAACTGCTACATTAGGAGACTTTACCGTTCGTCCATAATTGATTTTAGGCTGGGTCAACTAGAACCTCCAACTACATTGATACGTTTATTAAAATATGTAATGCATCTGAAAATCATAATTGGATTGCATTTTGAAATCCAATTTGTTTTCAGGATCAGCTTCAATCTCTCTTTTAGAGGTGGTCTGACCTTCAATTGTATCTGTACAACCTTAAATTTCATGGTTTCCCTTTATTTAGTCTCATTACAGGACTTTGTCTTTGGGATTTACATATTTTTAGCTTATTTAATCCTGCAAAACCAAGTTCCACCTATAGTTCTTCCTTCGGAAGAGATTATCAAAGCATGCCACAATTATCAATGCTCCTTGCTATTAGCCAATAGAAGTACAACCTGGAGCTGAAGCTAAACTCCTGCCACACATCTGCCTCCCAAATGTTAATCTCACTAAAGGTCTTGCTTTTCTAAAATGCCAATGTTGTAAAAACAACCCACAATGTCTAAAAATAGCTCGCTCGTCACCTCTTAGCCACATTAGATAAATCCTTGCAGATGCGAGTTATCTGAATGCTCTAATTAGTTGTCTGTTTTTATGAAGAGTAAAGCTGGTGAGAAAGGTTAGCGTTTCAGAAGTAATCTCTGTCATCCAGAGTTTCGGAAGTTTGTTTTCGATGACCAGGCTACATGCCAGAAAGGGCATGCACACAAGTTTTATAATTTCAAGTTAAGCAGCACAAAATGCAACCATCTTAACATGGGGATATGGATACAATGACAAATGTCACATGTAAAAGATCATTTTTGCAAGAGAAAACGCAAGAGAAATTTTATACATTTCTCACCAGCTTTACTCTTGGGGCGGCAGTGGCTCAGTGTTGAGATTGTCTACAAACCGAAAGGTCTCGAGGTGTCCATGAGCTGGACGAGCTGGATGGCGCCGTTGGTGGATGAATGAGTAAGTGAATGTGAGGCAAATGTAAAGCGCTTTGGTGACCATTGGGTCTATGAAAGTGCTATATAAATGCAGTCCATTTACCATTTAAATTTCCTCCTATCTGAAATTGTTTTGGTGAAAAGATAATCCTGCTCCAAATTCATGTTATTTGTTGAGCTTACGCTGCTGTGTTGGCCTGGTTGCTCAGATGCTCAGTTAATTGTGATGTTTTAATAGCGCCCCAGGGTTTATACCTTTTGGGAGAATAAGCCTATGATTGGCTTACTTTATAGTTGTCTTTCCTTTGTAAGATGGGAAAGAGGAAGTATTTTAACTTTCACCTTTAAGCCATGCTTTTCATTGTGTGATCTGTTTTTCTCATTTAAGTGTTACATGTTTAACTTAATGATGATTCCAAGCCACTAAAGTATTTTACACTTTGGTGCCAATTACTTCTTGTTACCCGTTTACTTAATTTTCCAGTTCAGCAACACTTTTTGCGGTACTTAGTCAATGCGTCACTAAAGTATTGCTTGTGTATTTGTGTTGTAGTGCCAGCCATGCAGCTGTACTGATTTGGTATTCCTCAGTCCGGAAGGGCAACATTTTGCATAGTATCAAAATCTTTGCTGCGTTATTAAAAAGCCCATATCTGTATGCTCCTGAGACTTATAATTCTCTCAACTCAAGTTTCCTGAACTTTCAGAACCCTCACAAAACAACTAAACTCACATCATGTGACGAGAAATACTGGAAAAATGCCGTCAAGAAATTAAGGCTGGAAAATTGAAGGGCATCACGTTCACAACTTCACATCATGCTTCTTCCTATGTAGTATTTTTGATCCGTGGATGCAGTAAATCTGAGAGTATAGCATTTTTCCCATGCAGAAACAAACATGCACGTGGAAACAAGCCCGTGGAACATGCTTTCCTTTCCGTGAATGAATCACATGATTGATATGGTCCTCTTTGAACCAATTGAAACAGACCGAAAGAACCACGGAAGACCACTGATTCACAGACAAACCACATTATGTGCGGTTATGTTTGTCTTGAATGCAATGATAAAACTTTAAAATGAAAAGCTATAAAATAAAATAAAAATCAATGTTTTATTGCCATTAAAAACTTAATAATAGGTTATTAAAATAGAGTTGTTATTGTTTGGCTAGATTGCAGACTTTACAAGTCTCTATCCTCCTCTGCAAAAACCTGTAGGAAACCCAGTAGAATAATCATTCCTTTATTCTCAAGATCGTGTGTAGTATCGGCTTTGTCCGTGGTTTTTTATTAGATTTGAATGCTCTCAATACCTACAGGAAGTTCTATAGCCACCATGACCTAGATGTGTAGGTTTTCCTTATAAATCCCTTCTTTGTCCCCTGTGTCCTTCCTTCCATCTCTCATCCTTCATATCGACTTCCACTTTTCTCCTCGCCTCATTAATTATTTTTCTTCTCTCTCTCATTTTCTGTATTAATGGTATTAATCTGTCTTATTTATGTCCTCTCTCTATGTTCTTTCATTACTCTCTCTATCTGTCTCCACAGAGCACTGGAACTACTTTGGCACCGATGAGAAGCTGGGGCCCGTGGCTCTGAGTATCCGGCGAGAGAAACTGGACGATACCAAAGATTTAAAGGACCAGTACCAGTACCGCATCATCTTTCGCACTAGTGAGGTGTGTATAACAGGGAAGATTTGTGCAAGTTAAATTAAATAAACCTGGATCAAACTGAAGGATGATTTATTCTCCTACAAACACCCATGGGCTTCTCCAGCCACTTTTATTTACCTCTTTGAGCCTGAAACTGAAGCTTATTGTTGTCTGTTCTCGCTATTATCTGATTAAATCTGATGAAACTGCTTGACAATAAGACTTCTGGGCTATTTGATAGAACCCTATACCTTTGGGGCCATTTAGAAGCACAATGTAGGGATGCTGGGACTATTTTTAACTTGTTTGCTGTTTTAAAGGAGTAGTTCACTTTAAAAAAAAACTTTTGCTGGTAATTTCCTCACCCCCATGTCATCCAAGATGCCCATGTCTTTCTTTCTTCAGTCGAAAAGAAATTAAGGTTTTTGATGAAAACATTCCAGGATTTTTTTTGCATATAATGGACTTCAATGGGAACCAAACGGTTCAAGGTCCAAATGAGAGTTTCAGTGCAGCTTCAAAGGGCTTTAAACGACACCAGACGATGAATAAGGGTCTTATCAAGCGAAATGATTGGCCATTTCAAAAATAAAAAAAAGTTTAAGTTTTATAAGCACAAATGTTCGCCTTGCTCTGTTCTGCGATGAGCGTTCGTGACTCTCCTGTTCATCAAAATGAACAAATCTTTTTTCGAGTCATGACTCGAAGGGTCCTAGATAAGACCCTTATTCATCGTTTAAAGCCATTTGAAGCTGCACTGAAACTCTCATTTTGATCTTGAACCGTTTGGTTCCCATTGAAGTCCATTATAAGGAGAAAATCCTGGAATGTTTTTCATCAAAAAACCTTAATTTCTTTTCGACTGAAGAAAGAAAAACATTGACATCTTGCATGACATGGGGGTAAAAAGTAAATTATCAGCAAATGTTTTTTTTAAAAGTGAACTACTCCTTTAAAAACAAAAAGCTCATAATGTGAGACGCTGGACTAAATCATTTTGAGGACTTTGGGCTTCTCAATGCACCTATGACATTTTTATGAACACAAACAGCATGATGCCTCTGGTTCATGTCATGCGTTTATAAATCAGTCCATCATGTGTCCTGTATGAAGTAACATTATCATTCCTGAGTGTGTTTGTTGCCTTGCGTGTTTGCGATAAAGACCACGAGGTTACCATTGCTTAATAATGGCGTGTTTGAAAAGTGCTGAGCTGTACTGGTATGACTGCAGCTCTGCTGGGTTTAGTCCGATTACATGGCTGTCTGGACACATTAAACTCACCCGCTCTGAACAATGCAGCGTCTTCAGATCATTCACACTCACACACTCAAAACGGCCTTGAACGAGTTCAAGAGTGTTATATTGGTCAAAGGTTCGAGTTAAATGATTGAACGGGTGGCTGTCCATGTGACATCTTCAGATGTGTGACTCATGCCACAACAGAAACACAGGCCTCAAAAACAAACTATTATAAGAATGTCAGTGTCTCCACCTGTGTACTAATTTTACAGTAGCTAATGGCTTTAGCATCAGCATGTGTGAGGTTAACAGAGATGCTGCAAGCAATGAATCATGGAGCAGTGGGGAAAGGATGCCACACAGTGGGCGCTTCTGCACACCATTTTTTCAGCCATTCATAATCATTCTCATGCTCTGTCACATGCTCTCAGAGGATATTTGGTCAGTCATATGATGTTTTTTTTGATTGTGTGTGTGTTTCCCCACATGGTTTCCTGTGGCTGCTGCAGCTGGTCACATTGCGAGGAGCGATACTGGAGGACGCTGTTCTGTCCACAGCGAAGCACGGAACGGTTCGTGGTTTGCCTTTAAAAGAAGTTCTGGAGTATGTGCTGCCAGAGCTCAGCGTATCTTGTCTGCGATTGGCTCTCAGCACGCCAAAGGTCACAGAGCAGCTTCTTAAACTGGACGAGCAGGGGGTGAGTGAAGGATGACCAGTCGGACACTACATCCAGTACGGTGTCTTAAATGTGGTGTTCCCAAACAACATAAAATGTGGTGTTCGATATATTTCTGTGTGTAAATAGCTAAGTCAGAAACACAAAGTGGGCATCCTGCTGTGTCGCGCGGGGCAGAGCACGGAGGAGGAGATGTACAACAATGAAGAGGCCACGCCAGCCTTCACCGCCTTCCTCGATCTGCTGGGAGAAACTGTGTGTCTGAGGGGTTTCAACAAATACGCTGCCCAGCTAGACACCAAAAGTGAGCATGGCTTTCTGTCTCACTTACATGTTTCCTAAAAAGGCTCAATACAATAAAGTGTCAAGCGATTAATCACATCTCTTCCATGTTAATCTGAGTTCCACTGTGACCATGAAAAGCGCAGTGTGGAAATACATTTTGATGGTCTCTTGGTTATATTAGGAGCGCCACGCTGGGTAGCTCCAAGATCTCACTGTCAGTTTTCAATGGCCCAAAATCTTGCTCAGGACTGAATTAAAACACTGTTTAAAGGAGAACTCCGGTCAATTTTAACATTGAGCTCATTTTTTTGTACATTTGGAGTGCTGTCAGTACAGACATAAACGACAAAAATCGGTGTTGCCTACACCGTGTTATCCTCTTTTTAAAATTCGCACCCTGTTGACTTCAATGGGGCATGTTCTAAACCTGCTTAACATCCGATGTTATTGTGGTGTTATTAAGAGTGACCACGGTCAATCTGACTGCAGTAGACGTGAAAGATATTTATAAAAATGAGTTTAATTCAGCCAGCTCACATACCTCTATTTACTTCCTGTTTTCGGTCGAAGCCCACAGTAGTCGATTGTCGAGTTCACGCACGCGATCATTTGTGAATATCATCTCAAATCTCCTCCGTGTGTTCAACATCTGATTCTGATTAACTATCCATTTGAGCTGATATTCTCAGAACATCACACAGTGGTAGGTTTGAGATGATATTCACTAATGATCGCGCGCGTGAACTCGACAATCGACTACTGTGGGCTTCGACCGAAAACAGGAAGCAAATAGATGCATGTGCGCTGGCTGAATTAACATCATTTTTATTGATATCTTTCACATCTACTGCAGTCAGATTGACCGTGGTCACTCTTAATAACACCACTCACATGGCTGTGCACTCGTAATGACAAATCAAGGATGTTAAGCAGGTTTAGAACATGCCCCATTGAAGTCAACAGGGTGCGAATATTAAAAAGTTGATAACACGGTTTAGGAAACAACGATTTTTGTTGTTTTTGTCTGTACTGACAGCACTCCAAATGTCCAAAAAAATGAGCTCAATGTTAAAATTGACCGGAGTTCTCCTGCAAGTTCAAAACTTTGGCTATGTTAATCCGGATACATTTGAAAACAGTTTTTGCTCCGTCCACAAAAGCATTTCACATTTTCTCATCCACACTGAAATCTCACATAAACTCGCTTATAATAAAGTTCGGGCAGGATCATTTTATTTAGCAAAACATCTCACCATCCACTCACTGCTGCATCCAGTTCGCACTTAATCACCATTAAATGTTAAATCTAAAATGCAACTGCTCCTATGTTCTAGGCTTGCCGCGATAGACGGTGTTAACGGTGTTACCGGTTTTAAGCCCAATCACCGGTGACATCTCTTTTCCACCGTGACACCGCGATCTCTTGACTTTTTTTTTTTAAAGTATTCGTTTTTGCTAAAATATTTATTTGAATTAATTAAAAATAATAATTTTCAATTATTTAGTTCAGAAGAGAGCATACATTATAATTAAAAATGAACTACGCAGTGCGTGCCAAGAGATCAGCAAGCATCAGGATTCCATTTAGCACGTGTGGAGACGAGAACGAGTCAAATTACAGAAAAGCAAGATTATGGCGGAAGACTTGGTGTCAAGACGCAATACAAAAGCGCCTGTTTGGCAATATTTTGGCCAATATATATTAATGTTAATAAATGCCAATTTATAGTGTTTTACTTTTTTTTTAGAGTGCTGTCATTTATGTAGGCTAAGATCCTTTTTGAAGTTTTTATTTTATATTCGTCTCTTTTTATTTGGTTTTATCTTATTTAAACTTTGTGTAATTTATTTTCTTATTCGTTAATAAACGTTTTATGGTTCTTATTTGTTTGGGCCCACAGTTTGCCGAATTTCACTTTTTTCAGCCTATGCATGGGGTTAATTTTATTTGTTTATTATGCTAATAAAAGTTCTGTCTATATTTGATTCGTTCGTTATGCTAATAAAAGTTCTGTATTAGCAGAAAGTACCCTTAAAAGTGCGCTTATTTCGAAAGTATAACGCGCACGCATTTAAAAGCTATTTAACCCCCCCGCCCCGCCGTCCACGGTGACACCGGGATTACCGGTGTTGTCACACGTCGATTAACCGGTGGGAAATTTTCCTCACCGCGGCAACCCTACTATGTTCTCAAGTAAATTGCAAGTTTTTTGTCATCTTTGCAAGGCAATATGAAGAGTGTACACATCTTTAGCAACAGTGTGAAAGTGAATTGCACATTACAGTGGAATAAACATACAGTAGCACTGGGTAAATCCTGATCATCATGAACAAAATCTGAATTTGTTTTATAGATTTTTGTTAGAACTTTTATTCTATATTCACAATGTGGTCTCAGAGTTTTGAATCATTAATATGCATGTGTATGTTTAACAGCGGACTCAACTGGAACACACTCCTTGTATACCACCTATCAGGACTACGAGATCATGTTTCACGTGTCCACCATGCTTCCATACATGCCCAATAATCCTCAACAGGTAAGAAACACACACATGCTCACCAGTGCATCTACTGTAAGAGCCTGTGGAGCACAGACATGACCCAACTTATCCTGACACATCCCACCTGGACAGACTCCCAGATCGCATTGCACATTGTTCAGATGCTGTTCATTTTCTTTGCTCTCATCCGCCAGTGTGTTTGTGGCAGACCCAAAAGTTTGTAGAAAAAAGTTACCCAAGAGTTTGTAAAGAAACATCTGGAATGGTAGTAAAGTTTATGAAGTGGCTGCAGTAAATCCACTGGATGTGCCCCAGCTCTTTTTTTTTATTCAGAAGGAGTGGCCACAGCTTCTGGACGTCCACTCACAGAGTCTATATTTTGTGTTACATGTGGTTATGAAGGAATTGTTCTCGCTCTTTCTCTTTTGGTTGGTTATTGTCAAGTTCTCCCTCTGTTTTTATGTGCACTGCTGGATGAATCAGAGCAGGGTGTGGTTGTCTAGTGATTTCCATGCTGTTGATTAAAATCCAGTAATGTGGCATCTTTTGCCCTCAGGAAGTTTCATGTTCGTGCATATGAGTCAACAGCTTTGCCCTAAAAACATTCATTATAAAAACAGGCTTAAAGACAGCATGATTCAATATTTGCACATTTAACTTGCATAGTGTGATATATTTCTGAGTGAAATAGACTATTAAAAGGGAAATAATGGAGAGGGAGACTTCAATTAATCACATTTTGGTAACATTTTTTAATATTTAATAATTATTGTTATTCATGCATCATGTTTTATTTAGCTTGGTTTAATACAGGGTATATGACAGGTGCATTACAATATATTATTATTATTAATTATTATCTATTGGTATTTCATTGCAGTGTGTGTTCATTGGGCATTGGGATGAAACAGGTTGTATTATTTTTGATTTATTAGGTTTTCCTGCCTGTGCAGCTTGGGTTATATTGGCTGCAAAAAACAAATTTGTTTTCAAAAAGAAAAAGTTTATTTGCCTTAAAACATGCACTAAAAATTATGCAGTAAGACCAGGTAAATATAATATAATAATAAAAAAACTCAAAATTGTAGCATTGGTTGTGCAGAACTTTAAGTTAATTCATTTGAACTGCAGAGGGCAGTGTTTATCTTTCAGATATGTATTTGTTTTACACACACACAAACAGTCCCACATGTGAGTGTGTTGTAGCGATTAAGAAAGGGATGTTGTGGCGAAGATAGAACGGGATGTCAGCGTTCATGGAAGAGCAGTGTTTCCATGTTTTTTCCTTTGTGTGTGTTTGAAATGTAAGATAGCTTATATAATTGATGCCCTCACACTGTTGTGAACGGGTGGGCAGCCTCTATTGCTCTGACTCAGATTGGAGGCCACAGAGATGCTCTTTTATTTTATGGTCTATTTATGTTGATTAACAGCAGTTTTAAACATCGGTTCTCAGCATCTCTGCTGTCAGCTCTCCTAGCACTTTAGAGAGAGTTCAAACGAGTCCACGTAACTCGCAGAACACATTCACAGCTTAGAATAGACAAGTCAACTCTGTACATAACAGTGAAGAAAGGCACTCCTGGCTGTTTTCAGATGCTTTTTTGCATTGCTCGCCAGGCAGCACTGTAATGGCATTCCTCAAACATTCTCATTAGGGTTCGTTCGTATTATATTTGTTTTTATTTAATTATGAAAACTTTCCATTGATTTTCAAATCAAAAAAACAAAAGATATGCACTCGCTTGTGTCATATAAATTAATTTTATATATATATATATATATATTTAGTATGCAACAAAGCACATGGATCAATGAAACGTTTCGGCAATCAGCCGCCTTCAGTGAATCAAATTTAATTTATGAATTCATTAAGAAGTCACAAGCGAGTGCGGATCTTTTGTTTTTCATATCAAAGTAATGCTACAGTATATTCCACTTATCTACGGACCCAAAAAAACGGTTAATCTTTTTTTCATTTGGTGAAAACTTTCCATTAATAAAATATTTTTTTATCATTCTATAGCTGCCTTTTATGCACTGATTTGGAATATAAATTTGGATATAAAATCTAATGCTTAACAAGGTTGCATTTATTTGATCAAAAACTGTAATATTGTGAAATATTATTACATTTTAAAATAACTATTTTCTATAAACTGTAATTTATTCATGTGATTACAAAGCTGAATTTTCAGCACCAATTCTCCAGTCTTCAGTGTCACATGATCCTTCAGAAATCATTCTAATATTCTGATGTGTTGCTCAAAAAATAATTCTATTATCAGTGCTTAAGCTTACTATAGCGGTAGTGTATAAATCCTCACATTTAGGACTCAACTTACTCAAGTGTTTCCAAAAGAGTTCCAAAAGAGTTTTTTGCAGTGCATTTTGGGATTACTTTCTCCATCAAGGATACATGTAATTCTACCACGAATTTGGACAAATTTCTGCCCTTAGAGAGCAAATATGTTGAATCTGAGTGCTGTGACCATGACAAACAGACTCAGATGCATCATATCATAAGATATACACTACACCTGTGCTGTCTTGCACTCACCGATATTTATAATCCTAGTACAGCATGATCTTTTAACAACATAAGTACATTTGATTGCTTGTGTTTTAGTGTCTGTCTCACAGATTTGTGCTGCAGTGCTGTTTACAGGCTTTTTCACACATCCGTGTCTCTCACCAGCGGAACGATTGTGCATCTATGAAGAGATTTCTGCCAGTTTCCACATTTTCTTCTTCTGTGTCCTTCAGCAGAACACTATCCTTTCTCTCTCTTGCTCTCTCTCTCTCCTACTCTTCCACGCTTGCAATCTTTTTTTGATATCTGTTGATGCAAGTACATTGGCGCATTAAACAATAAAGTAGTACTTGTTGAAGGAATGATCTGAGCCATATCCAGACTCATAGAAATAAAATGTCATAGAGACCTAAGAGTGGGCCCTTTTGTGACCACCATTTAGTTTAATCTACATATAGAGTGCCTCACACAAAAGATTTAATTCTCTTTCAAAGATATGGAAAAAATGTGGTCACCAGTACTTCATATTTGTTATAACTATCTATAACATAAAACTCATAACTGATGTAAATAACTGATAACAAAAAAAGGATGATGATGAAATCAAGAAGCATAAAATGATTTTTTTAAATATTTTGGCAATAATACACTTTTTCACTTTAATCTCTAAAATGATTACTATTGTTATTTATTTATTTTGATGTAAAAACTGTTCAATTGTGACAGTTCATTTGTTTCCAGTCAGATTGATTAAAAAACCCAGTGTGTCCTCACTTCCAGAATAAAGTCAGCCAATCAGAGTAAAGCTTGCTAGTTTTGTGTGCAATATGCATAAGACGGTCAGTGAATGTGGCTGGTTTGAGACCTAGCAACCATCTAGAACGCCCTAGCAACACCCCTGGCACTGTGGCAGCATTTTCCTAGCTGTTTATTCCATTGAATTTCTCCCTTTCATTTCATTCACAGCTCCTGAGGAAGAGGCACATAGGAAATGATATAGTCACGATTATATTCCAGGAGCCGGGAGCCCATCCGTTCACCCCACAGAATATTCGCTCTCACTTCCAGCACGTGTTCGTCATTGTCCGTGTGCACAACCCTTGCTCTGACAACACCTGCTACAGGTTGGCCTTGTTTCCATAGCAACCCTTGCTAAGTACAGTAGTGGCTGATTATGTCATGGAAAATATAGTTCAGTGGCCATTTGCTTTTTTGTTCTTCTTCTTCTTATAGTGTGGCAGTGACCCGCATGAAGGACGTCCCTCCGTTTGGTCCGGCGATACCTTCAAATGGCATGATGTTCCGTGACCCCGCTGCCTTTCGTGCTTTTCTGCTGGCCAAGATCATTAATGCAGAGAATGCTGCGCACAAATCAGAGAAGTTTCACGCCATGGCAACCCGCACGCGCCAAGGATACCTGCGGGACCTGGCGGAGAACTGTGTTTCCACTACACCGCTCGACACTGCTGGCAAACTGAACAACCTCATCTCTCTGGCCTCCAAACGCAAAGAGCGCGTCCGGGCTCGCGAAGCAGCCGAAATGGGTGCCGCCGGGGCGCTTGTTTGGCGCGTACTTGCGCAGGACTACAGTGGCGGAGGCGCCGAGCTTCCTTGTGCTCTTGCCATCTCCAATGAGTATATAGTGCTGGCGGACTGCTCCACCAAAGAGGTGGTGTTTAACTGTTTCTGTGCGGATGTGATTGGCTGGATGGCAGAAAGACTTGCACTGAAGATTTTCTATGGAAGAGGAGACCACGTGGCCTTACGGGTACCCGAGGGCAGCGCGCACGATATCAGAGAGGTGCTGCAGAGACTTAAGGTACTGATACATACATTGATGGCTAAGTTATTGGTTTGCATTATGGGATGTGAGTTTTAGGGTGTGTTCACACTTGGCATTTTGTTTGGATTAAAACGAACTCTGCTGCGATTGCTCTGTTATCGCGCTTTTCCAGTAGAGCCAGGCCGATATTATCGGCCGATATTAGGCATTTCCCAAACTATCGGTATCGGCAGTTATAATGGCCGATAAATTAATATTTCAAAAATAAAATAAAAACGGACGAAACTCGCTTGAACCATGTCATGAGTGTTGGACTTGAGTTTGTCCACCAGAGGGCACTCTACACATTTGTTGACTATACTGACTATCATGTCCAGTTTTGCTGCTGTTAAATAACCCGAGAGTGAAGAGGAATTAGTTAGTAATTATTACGTTACGTTGTTACAGTGTAGTTGACTGACTGTCCTTTTAACTTTTGACAATGTGACTGAAGTATTTTTTTAATAGCGCGTGGCAGTTATAACAATGACACGTATCATCTCTTATCACCGTTTCTGAAATAAAAAAAAAATTATAATAAAATATCGGCCGATATATCGGAATATCGGATTTTAAAACCAACAAATATTTGTATCGGTATCGGCTTTCAAAATCCTTTATCGGTCGGGCTCTATTTTCTAGTACCAGCTCGACTCAGCTCGCTTTTCGTTCCGTTTTCCATTGCAGAGAGTACCGCCACAAATATAGCGACGCCTTTCGTTCCTAGTTGCCCTATCAATCTCTCGCTGGATCCTCTTTTCGGCAAGCAAACAAAGGAAAGTCTGCACCTCCTCGTTTGATCACGGCGTATTCTTCCGACTTGCCATAATAATAGTAGTTAGTTTAGTAACTACCTCTGTCCAAACTATTTAAAAATAGTGGGGTTATTCTGGCTACTCCATCTGGCGCTTGAAATGATGACTTAGTGAATGGTGACTATTTTCTCTGACCAGTCAGCAGTCGGCATTGTTTTCTCGTGACATTTTAGTACCGCCTTAGCTCGCTCAGACCCTCACCGGAGGTGGTACCAAAAAAAGTACCCGAAAGCAGGAAGAGGTACAACTTTTACACAGTGGAAAATCAAACAAAGCTGAGCCGAGCTGGTACTGTGTAGTGGAAAAGTGCTATTAGTGAGATGGGTCTCAGTCCACTTCTAAACAAACTCTGGTGCGGTTCGAATCACTGACCAAAGATATCTAGATGACTGTTTTGACTCTCTTCACGAGTTCTCAGCTGGTCAAAATACCATCATATGTTGGGTGAGCGCATTTAGCCCTGAACACGGCATCATTTTTGGATGTTCTGTAAGTTTCAGTGTAAAATATATTAGGGCTGGGTATTGACACAAATTTCACAATTCAATTCCATTTCGATTCACAAGATTGATTTCGATTCCGATTCGATTCAATATTGATTATTTTGGCTATCAGTTACAATTAATGGCAAATTTTCTCAAGGAAATCAAATCTCTTAACTAATGCTGTAAACTATGGGAGTCTAGCCTACTAGGTTTTATTAGCCTAATATGAAGATAATAATTAACTGTTTTGTAGCTATACAAACACTTAAATTACACTTTTATTTATTTTTATAATAAGAAGATTATATGAAAATATAAACAATATTGGTAAATGGTGGCTGTCAACTGGCCAATTTATTCAAATTTGCATTAAATATTGAAGAACATTAAGATTATAATGCATATGTAATATGGTGTATATATTTAGCAAAATGCTCGTCTCTGGAGTTATTTTTTTCTAGCTGACTAACGAGTTTATGTGGGTTTTCTGAGGTAAATATGACGATACATGACATTGATTACAAGCTGTTTAACTGACGTCTTTCCGCGGTTGAAACGCTGATTGAGCGAATGAATGTGACATGATACGGATTTCGATAAGTTGTACTCTATCTTTTAACACACTTTCAGATGCTCCTTCATGTTTATTTCGCGCTGTAACTGGTATTATTAACCCGGAAGAGAGATCAGCGCTGCTGCTTCTCTTGTGCTGCGCCAGAGCGATCTCACGCCACAGCGCCAAAACGTTATTTATGTTTTTGAATTTCTAAAGAAAATGGACGTAATTTGAAATTTGAGACTTTGTTTCATATCAATAGTAACAAAGGACAAAGATTATTGCGATTTTTTTTTTTTTGGATGCGTGCAGCCGCGATACAGTGTCCCATTCGTTCAAATGAAACAGGATGACTAATCGATTCTTGAGATTTAAGAATCCAATCGGTTCGTAAAATTGAGAATCGATTAATATCGAGAAATCGATATTTATTACCCAGTCCTAAAATACATCTAATAAAAGCCGACCAATCAGGTTGTGAACATATCCAAATGCTTTTAGGTTCGGTGTTAAAATACCATGTTTCCAACCAAACTACAAATATGAACACACCCTTATAGTCTCTGAGCTCCTATCTGTCTCTCTGTTTCCCCTTGCAGGCATTGACTGTAGGTTGTGAGACGGTTGATATGACATTGCGACGTAATGGTTTAGGCCAGCTTGGTTTCCATGTGCGTTTGGACGGAACGGTGTCCGAGGTGGAGGAATACGGTTTCGCTTGGCAGGCGGGACTCCGGCAGGGTAGCCGATTGGTGGAAATCTGCAAGGTTGCAGCGGTGACACTCTCCCATGATCAGATGATCGACTTACTGCGGACGTCTGTCACTGTAAAAGTGGTCATTATTCCACCTTATGAAGAGGGTGGGGCCCGCAGGTGAGCCTATGGGAATTTGCACTTATTCTCGAGTTTGATGGTGTAAATGGCTGCTGTTTGAGAAATCAAATGCTGTCTGTTGTAACATCACAAGATACTTTATGATTTATTAGATCTCAGAAGCCACATCTGAAGCGGCATGCGTGAGAGATATATATACATACACACTTTGATGTGGCAGAGAGGAATGACAGGTGTTACAACACATTCACACTGTTGATTCATATCCAGTGTTGTTCTAGTATTCATATACAATGTAAATCACAGGGTTCAGGGTTCAGAGTTAAGCCGGGTTCAGAGTTAGAGTTAAGCTGGATTCACACTGTGCATTTTTAGCCAGGATTTGGCCACCTGAGACAAATTTTGTGAATCCTAAAGATTTCTAAAATCTGAAGTCTTCGATCATTAGTTTGACATGTTTACCGACAGCCAATATACTTGCTATAAAATTTGACCTCCTACTAAATGTCAGAAGATTTGACACACAGTCCTGTAGTGATCCGACAACAACCATCAAATCAAAAATCAATACGAGCGCCGAAGCTGATGATGCAATTAGTGAGACAACAACAAACCACCACTTGCTACACACACACACACGTCTTAATTTTTTTCCAGTTTTCTTTTCAAAAAAAGCCATGATCAAAATTAACGCTAGAGATTTTGTTTTGTTTGCTAGCCACCATTTCTATCCCGCATGTAAAACTGTGGACAAGTCTTGTGTGTGTGTCCATTTTTAACGCGTCTTGACTGTCATACAGTCTGACATTGACAACCGAGATCCCAGTGTGACATGGCTTACAGCGAGAGTCATGTTTATACAGAGTCTGAATAGCAACAGTCATAAAGAAAAGTGTGAACCCGGCTTTGCTAGAAAATTACAGATAGTTTGATGAGGCTTTGAGGATCCAGAGCCAGATTTGAGGAATTCTGGTGTGGCATATATGAAGATTTTAAAAACGACATGTTTGAAGCTGAATTAAGCTTCATTAACTTATATTTATATTCATTTATATGGTTTTTTTGTACCCTGCTCCCGTACATACCCTGACAAAGTATCTTAAAATTCAGTTGAGTGAGCCATAATGCCATATAATTGCTCTTCCACTAATTTGACTTATTTGATTTCATACTACATACTTGAAATTCATTCCTGAAACCGTTTATGCTATGATTGGTTGGCCATTTGCTGGGAGGAAAATGTACAAGTTGTAACTCTCAGAACTTTAATTGAATATCCCTGTAGAGGATAGCAAAGAGCCATTAGCCCAACATTTCTAGCAGAACGTTAGATAGCTCTTGTGACTCCATTAAATTCATTCATCTTTGATAAATCATTAACGGAGAACACCATTAAAGACTGTCATATAGAGACAAGAACATCGACTGCTTCCTTCATTCAGTGTACTGTTGCCTGTGATGTCCCAGAGATCTAGAGACGAGAGAGCATCAAATCCCTTCATTACGTCTGTTGTGTGGATGTTTTAAAGAATGCCAGATATACAATTCGTAAAGTGCAGCACAGCTGAAATCCTTTGCAATCCTGGAATCCTTTTTTTTTGAATAAGACACACACACAAAAAATGCAGTCAGGATAGAAGAGACGTTCTCTGATAGATCATCAAATTCATCATCAAGTCATTCTGTACTGTAAACAGCGACTTTAAGGGTAATTCCACCAGTGGAGACATGAATATGTATTGAAAGTGGGTCATATGTAGTAGAATGGGGTCATACATTTCTAATTTGGGTCCTTTTTGTTTGATAAAAGGCAGAAAATGACTTTTTAGTGCTGGTGGATTGTTGACAACAATCCCCATAGTGCATTGCAATGCTCAGCTCCGCAGGCCACTCCCACTACTCCACCCATCAATGTAGACTAGAGTTGAGCACCACTCCTGGAAATCGTTTCGCACTATGAAATCAGATAATATGCGCGCTAATATAATAAGCGTCAAGGCGGCGCCCGCGCCATCAGCCAATGGATTGGCGTGATTCTGTATGGGCTTCAGACAATCGGCACCTTCAGACAAACCAGTACCTTCGTCCATATTTTCAAAAAGTTTCTGCCGGTGAAATCAAACGCACTGGCACTGATCTGTGATTGGTCTGTTAGCGCATTAGGCCCAACCCCCTATGGGCGGGTTTTAAATGGTGGGAACTAGTGCTTGTAGTCTTTATAGAAATCCCTCCACTTACCCCTTTTCCACCAAAAACGAAGTGGTTCGGAACTGGTTCTGGTTCAAAGTTGGTTCGGAGTTGTTTCAACTTGCGAACCCTTTCAGAACCCGTTTGTTTTCCCACTGACTAGTGCGCCCAGGGAATGACGTTGTTACGTCACTGTGTACGTCGCCATACGTCTTAGCTAGAAACGCTCTTTGGGATTATCTCTAACTCGTGTACCAAGAAGGCTTTAAAAACAATTGAAATATGTAAGTCTTTTAATCTTTTCCTTTGTTATGTAACCTTTTCTGATTAGTTATGTACCCCTGTCTTGTGTCTTTTTTTTTTCTTTCCATTTATTTGTTCTATAATGTGACTGTTTTCTTCTTTGCTTATAATGTTTTCAATACATAAAAAATAGATACGCTTGCGCCAACTTCAAGCAATACAATTACAAAGGCGGACTCCATCGTGTTTCTGCAGATGTTTATCCTGGCTTTGCGATCCAATATTATGGTCAGAAAATATGTTCAGAACACATCTAAACCCGCCCCAGCCCCCGACGTTAGCATGACGTGGTAAAAGAACGGTTCTAGTCCAGCAAAGAGTTGGTGCCGCTTTGGAACCAGTTTTCCTGGCCGAGAACTGGTCCGAACCAAGGGGGTAATCCATCGACCGGAAGTTGAAGCCACGCGAGAGCTGCCATCTTGTAGCAGAACTTCACTTGCGTTAGCATTCCCATTGACTCCCATTCATTTTGGCGTCACTTTGACAGCCAATAACTTTACATTTGAGGAGTCTGAAGACCCCATTTGTCCCTTATTTATTTCTTAAGAAACACGACAATGTATAAAATGCTCCATTACCTTGTAGCTTATGTTATGGCCCAGTAGAAGCAGTTTTAGTGAAAGTAGGCTAACGATCGCCAAAAACGGGCTTTAATCGTCTCAATGGAGTTCTAATGAGATCGCTCTGTCCATTTCTTTTACTGTCTATGGTCCGAACCGGCTCTCAAAATGCTTTGGTGGAAAAGGGGTATCTTTCACTTCCTCCTACAATGACGTAAAATGACGTCATTGTAGGAGGAAGTGAAAAGGGTAAATAGCGGATTTCTCTCGTCTCAGGGGAAATTGAGAGAGTGTTGGACGACCATTCAATAGTATAACTGGATCTCTAACAATGGAAATCTTAATGCAAATGGAGGGAGTGTCCCTTTAAGCCTAAAATCTGGGCAGCAGCACATTTCAGTTCTGACAGGGCTGCTGTTATTTGTTTTTTGCACTTTCCACCCCTCTGGAGACACATTCTGGTTTTGGAAAGATTAATGACGAACCATGCCCTCCAGCTGGAACCCCTCTGACACGACTCAAACGATTTCACTGAGGGTTCGCTGGTTTCATAGGTGATACAAAAAACACGTATCTTCAAACGAGAGGGGAAAAGCTTTTGTTTCTCTCGCTCGAGTCGTACCTCCTCCTTGTCTGGTGCGCAAACAGACGCGCGCACAAATACACACAGGCGCTCTCCAGATTTTTGAGAACGTTGGCAGACGCCTCGGTTCTCCGGGGAACAGTGAGTGGGAGTGTTAGAGAGAGAGCAGGACAGAGAGTGTTAGAAGAGGAGAGGAGAGAGGGATGGAACGGTTTACAAATGAAAACGGTGATTATGTGAAGCCTCAGCATCGAAAAGGTACGTTTGCAGACTCCAAAACACCGGTTTTGTTTCAATGATCATTTGAAATTATTATATTGCACAGTTTAGCGTCACATGTCTCTGAACTTTCTGCTGAGTGGCTCCTGCAAGGGACTAATTACTCTGTTTGATTGCATGCTAGAGGGACATGTGTTCGCAGTTGTGGTTAATTACACAAGTAAACTCTATTTGAAACGTTCTCTCGCGCGCACGCCCCCACCCACACTGTGCTGAGGAACGAAAGGAGCGTGCTAATTGCATGCTTCAACATGCTTGTGTTTTTGTCATTCTATCTCTTTCGCTTTCCCTCCTCTGTTTGCTCATTGGTCCACTCTCTGAGAGCCAGGAGAGCAGATTGCATGAGACTAAAGCCCGTGGAAAGATACATAAGTAAGAGGTTTTAATTAAGACGTGACACCGAGAGGGAACGGACGGCGTGTTTAGCATGCAGGGAGAGGATATTTAGACCGGCATGTCTGAGCGTCTCCTCGCTGGGAAACAAAGTGGGAGGGTGTTGCATACGGTGGAAAGAAACACCCCTCCTCCTCTTTCTCCCTCCGTTTCTCCCTCCCTCTTTCTCTTTCCTCTTGTTATCATAGTGAAAGAGAGGATTGGAGGGGTGGGGAGAGCAGAAGTGTGTGTGCGTGTCCGGTTGTCAGGGTTGGTTTGTACTTCAGCTGTCAGTCAGAGCCTCATGGCGCTCCTGCGGACATCCGATACAACAATCTGGTCTACACGCAGAGGTTAGTGATGGGCTTGGAGACAAAGAGAGGATGGACGTGAAACGCTGGGACTCAGTTGTATTATAGCTGTGAATGACAAAGGAATGAAAATACTTGGATGGGTGGATGGCAGTAAAAGAGGAGTGTTGGAGCTGACTGCACTCTTTCAGTGCTGAAGAGGTAGCAACACGAGGCTGTAATTTCACGCTCGGGGTTTTTCTTGTCTTTGTCCACCCGTGGCTTCAGGAAACATTAATGTGTGCTGATGAATTATGTGTCTTTAATAAGAAACTGCATGTGCTGATAATTGTCTGAGAATTTGTTATCATCTCTAAGTTAAGCATAATGTACAGTCGGGTCCAAAAGTCTGAGACCACATTGAATATATGGTGTTTTTTTTGTTTTTTTTTAAAGATGGCAGTCTTCATTTTGAACAAAGAAACGTTATGATGTAAAATAAGAACTATTGGGAACACTTTATACGTAAATAAATGCATTAACTAATATTAACGATGAGCATTGCATTTGTTAATGTTAGTTAATAGGGCTGTCAAACGATTAATTGTGATTAATCGCATCCAAAATAAAAGTTTGCGTTTACATAATATATGTGGGTGCATTGTGTATAATTATAATAATTGTAATTATTTTATATATATTTTATATCTCATTTATATATAAAATATTTATATGTATATATAATATAAATTATATATATATATATATATATATATATACACAGTATATTCATGAAAATATTTACAAGCATGTGTGTATTTACATATTTACAGTATATATATATATATATAATAATTATACACAGTGCACCCACATATATTATGTAAACACAAACTTTTATTTTGAATGCAATTAATCGTTTGACAGCCCTACTAGTTAAATAAAAATACATCTGTTCAACAAATATTGTGCTTGGCCAGATACAGAAAAACTGATAGCCAGGCAACAGGCATTATACCAGTACGGTTATACAGTTAGACAACCGTGCTGAGAATGGTTTGTAATTGTGCCGTATCTGGGAATACTTCCATTTAGAGCCCGACCGATAAAGGATTTTGAAGGCCGATACCGATACAAATATTTGTTGGTTTCAAAATCCGATATTCCGATATATCTGCGGATATTTTTTTATTATTTAATTATTTATTTATTATTTCAGAAACGCACAAAAAAACATTAACAGATTTCCCTAACATTAGTTATTTGTTGTTATTTATGAGTTTTAACAAAAATAATATAATGCATTTTAAAAAGAAACTTGTTTCTTTTATTGTCACAACAGAACAGACTGATGATAGTGGCATTAGCTAGCTTTATGTTTAGCTAGTCTATAATGAGCCATAATTTAGCAATGGATAACGTCATACTGCAAATTGTAAAACATACATTTAACAGGCCAAGGAGAGATGATGCGTCTCATTGCTATAACTGTCACGCGCTATTGAAGAAATACTTCAGTCACATTGCCAAAAGTTAAAAGGACAGTAGGTCAACTACACTGTAACAACGTAACATAACGTAATTACTCCAAAACTCGTGACATGGTTCAAGCGTGTTTCGTCCATTAAATATTCATTTATTGGCCATTATAACTGCCGATACCGATAGTTTGGGAAATGCCTAATATCGGCCGATAATATCGGCCTGCCGATAAACCGGTCTGGCTCTACTTCCATTGCTATTTCCGTTTCATCGTGACTCATGGCCATGATTTAACTACAGAGGGAGTAAATAAAGTTATGAGAACAGATTCTGAAGTTTCAGCCACAATATCTTGCTTTTTTTTTCCTTGTGTGGGGTCCATACTGGTCCCTGATTAAATAAGCAAATTTGTGACATTGATCATGTTAATGTTTGTACAGGAAGTCAGAAGATCATCAGACATTGACACAAACTGCTGCTGTCATTAAAGCAAAAGGGGCTGAAGCAAATACTAATGTTCAATTTAATGTCACTCATTTCACGATTTTAATTTGGATGAATTTTTTAATAATATTAAATTATAACACAAAAGAAATGTTAAATGGAAGTATTTTCATTAGCTCTCAGACTTTTGGACCTCGATGGAGCTGGCAGGTTTATATAAACGTGAATTTTACCTTTAGGGTTAAGAGTTTGCATTTAGTTTATATCCTCTCTATACGTGTGTGTAGTCAGTCAGGGCTAGTTTATATGTCCTTGTGGTCTTCAGAAGAGAGTTTTTTTGGTATATTAGACAGAAACCATGTGAAGCCTGGTGTGCTTTCCACTCTCGCCCTCCATCTCTCCCTCTCCTTGCTTTCTTTTTTCTCATTTTGGCTTTCTGACTGTCTTTTTCTCCCTCGCTGTGAATGGAGGATAATAGGTAGCAGCATACAATAAATATGATGTATGAAATATAGATGTCAGGGAGCAGAAAGTGCCACTAGGTTAAGGGCTGGAATATCAGTAATATCAAATATGGAGACGTCCATAAAACTGAAGTCTTGTCATTTTGACCTGGCAATCCAATCGAGATATATTGTCCAGCCTGCTTCACACATTGCAGTTTTTCTAAGAACACGGTTGTGAGTCCTGAAAATTTACGGGTGTGTGTTTGGATATAGAATGCGGTTGTCACTCTCATAAATAACTGAACTGTGTGTGAACGTAACCGTATTAAGGACTCATACAGGATTGACAACTGTATTCTGCTGCTGTGTGAACGTGGCCATATTATAAATGTCGGTAACGCTTTACTTGAAGGGGTGTGCATAAGACTGACATGACATGACATATGTCTTGAATATGGGGTTCATGCATGTTTATGACAACTGTCATAAGCGTCATTCGCTCAATAATGACATTTTGAATGCAAATATGACATTGTTTGAGATGTCTTTGCTATGACACCTTGACATAAACCATAACATCATAACCTCTCAGTGTCTTTGTCATGACAACTTGACATTGGCTGTCATGAGGCATTATAACTGTGTCATGAATATTTTTCGTGACCTCAACTACTGTGGTACTAATTGAATTTGTCATTAAAAAGTTGTAATGGCCTCATGACAGCCAATGTCAAAACCAACCACCTGACAGTTTAATGTAATGTTATGATGTAATGGTTTATGTCAAGGTGTCATAACAAAGACATCGCAAACAATTTCATATTTGCATTAAAAATGTCATAACTGAGCGAATGACACTTAATGACAGTTGTCACAAACAAGCATGAAACTTCCTTCATATTCATAACATATGTCATGATTATGAAGGTGTCATGTTAGTCTTATGCACGCCCCTTCAAGTAAAGTGTTAAAATCTTTATTCATCAAGGACACATTAAATTGATTAAAAGTGACCGTAAGTATTCATCTCTTTAAAAAAAAAAAAAAAGGTGAAGCAGAAAAAGGTACTGACAATCTAAATGAGAGTAGATGAGAGTGATGAAGTTACCTTGTCTTGAGTCCTTGTGGTAAAGTGCTGACAGTGTGAGGGGGTCAGAGTGGGTTTCAGTTTCTCATCATCATCAGAAAGCAGAGAGACCCAGAGGGATTCTGGCGCTGATGAGAGCGTCTCATGCTGTTTGGCATTCAGGAGAGGTTACTGTACTGGTCAACGGGGATTTAGGACTAATCTGCCAGTAAACCAGACCCTCTGTGCTTAAGCACACACTCAAATTCATTCCCTCAACCATCCCTTAAAATCTCTAACCTTTAACACGGGATGAAGAGTTTTCATCTGCTTTAAAATGGTCATGATCACACTAGTCGCGCTTAGCAATCGGATCCTCATTCCAGCCTGTTCTGACCAACAACCACTCATTTAGACAGGAAGAAACTGACATGATAAAAGTCCTAATACAGCTTTTGTATTCACGTGTTGTTTAGAGTTGGGTTTATCTGAAATATAAAATGGCAATAATAGACTTGAAATGAGGTTTGACCGACTTTGACCGAGGGTTTCAGTGGCTGTTTCTATGATCTCTATGAAGAGGTGTAGTTGTTCCCAGAAGTTAAATACATTTATTTAAATGGGTATAATGGATTTATATACACTACCGCCACTCAAAAGTATGGAGTCAATATGATTTTAAGAAATTCTTTTATTTAGCAAGGTGCATTCATTTCTTCAAGTGACAAAGACATTTAGAATATTACAAAAGATTTGTTTCAAATAAATGTTCTTCTATCCTGAATCACAAAAACAATCACGGTTTCCAACACTTAGAATAATAAATGTTTCTTGAACAGCAAATTCGAATAATTTCTGAAGGATCATGTGAACTGAAGGCTGGAGTCATTATGCTGAAAATTCAGCTTTGCATCACAGGAATAAATTACAAAACACTCATTTAAAATTTTCATAACATTTAATGATATTACCGTTTTTAATTTAATCTTGGGGAGAAATTTTAAATAAGGGACTCTTAGTGAAAAAAAAAATCTTTTGGACAATAGTATATAAATTAAACGGTATATTTATATAAATTACAGTAAAATTATTTAAATCTATAGTTATATATATATATATATATATATATATATATGAAGAGTTCAGATGCAAAAGCCTCTAAATGCCATTTGAAATTTTCTTCTTTAATGATGATTTTTATCAAACTTGTATATTTAAGTTCAGTAATTTCACTTAAATAACAATTAATAGGTAATTATCATTGCCATTTAAGTGAAATTACTGAACTTAAATATACAAGTTTGATAAAAATCATCATTAAAGAAGAAAATTTCAAATGGCATTTAGAGGCTTTTGCATCTGAACTCTTCATATATATATATATATATATATAGAGAGAGAGAGAGAGAGAGAGAGAGAGAAAGAGAGAGAGAGAGAGAGAGAGAGAGAGAGAGAGAGAGAGAGAGAGAGAGAGAGATGAACAGATGAACGATTTTAGAGTACTGAAGCTGGTATTTGCATATTTAAATTTGAATGGTTTATGTAATGTTTGTGTTTGTAGGGGCTGTACGGAGGAGTACGAGATGAAGATGATGGAGCAGAAGGGAGAAGCGGAGCCAGTGGCTGCAGGGTATCGTGCGGGGCAGCGGACCCCAGTGTGGCGTTGGGACAGTCCCCCGGGTACACACAGCTCTGCCCAGCGCTGGACCCCCGGCGGACCCCCACCGGTCCCCAGCCGCACCCACAAAGCTCTGGTCCCCATTCCATACAGAGAGCCCCAGCACATCTCTGTTAAAAGGCGAGACATTTCGGCATATGGTTAAAATCTCTGGAAAACCAACTATTAGGCACATATTTTGGCTTTGTTTTTCTTCTCACTAGCTATTTCCGTCTCCTCCCACAGGCCTGTCAGTTACCCAGAGAACCATTACAGTGTGTCTCCTCTTGGCGGGGACAGAGGGATGGCGTACAGAAACCCTTCGGCTAGTTTCTCCAGTCCAGCCCCTGGGTTTAACTCCACTGCACTGGGAGTGCCGGGACTCAGCGGACCCTTCATCCGCTATAAACCCTCCCGAGACGGGTCAGTGCCGGTCACATGTTTGTTTTTTGCATATATTGGCATACTTTCCCTTGACTGAGCTGTCCATTGTATGGACATGAGAATAGGACATAATATGAGAATTTATTAAGTAAATTCTAAAATTCATAGATATGGCATTCATTGGAAATTTAAGCTGATGTTTCCAAGCATTTTGTCCATATAGGGATAACATAAACTCAACCAGTTATCATCACCTGTCAGGGTGTTCATTTTGAAAGGTAACGATAATTGTACAATATAATCCCACTTGTTACAAGGCACCAGAATTAAAGGATTAGTTCACTTTTTAAAAAACTTTTGCTGATAATTTCCTCACCCCCATGTCATCCAAGATGTCCATGTCCTTCTTTCTTCAGTCGAAAAGAAATTAAGGTTTTTGATGAAAACATTCCAGCATTTTTCTCCATATAATGGACTTCAATGGGAACCAAACGGTTCAAGGTCCAAAAGACAGTTTAAGTGAAAACTGCAAACTGTTCAAAGGGCTTTAAACGACTCCAGATGATGAATAAGGGTCTTATCAAGCGAAACGATCGCTCATTTAATAAATAACAAAGTTTAAGTTTTATAAGCTCAAATGTTCGCCTTGCTCTGTTCTGTGACACACGCTCGTGAATCTCCTGTTCGAGCTCGTTCATCAAAATGAACGAATCTTTTTCTGAGTCAGTTCGTTTCGTTCATTGAATAAACCAAATGACTCGGAAAAAGATTTGTTCGTTTTGATGAACGCAATGGTCAAACACGTCGATCTAGCATGTTATCGTAAAAAATCAAGTGAAATGCAAAAAAACACATTCTGTGTGAACGACTACTAATAGTTTGGTCTCAATTCAAAAGATCTGATCTAAGAAGTGAACCCAACTCTATAGCATGTTTGCTGTCAGAGACATAATTTATTAATATACCTGAAGTGCTCTCACATAGTGTGAATAAATACTCATTATTTTACCCAGCACTTGGAAACTAATACAACAGAATGCTATAACTGTGAGTAAGGGTAGAAATGAACATCTTCAGGCGCTGTTTAACATCATCGGTGGGTGTGTCTGATGCTTTATGATAGGCTGCGGTCGAGGCATGTATCAGCTAGACCTTCAGTGCTGATTCACAGTGCTATTGTGTGTTTGCGGATGATTGTATACATGTATAAAACCGAGATCACGGCATGTATAGACAGTCATGGCGCTCTATTATGTGCTTGATGGTTGGCTACCCTGTTCAACCAGAGGAACTTGTTGTGAACGTTTCTTTTTTGAATGCGAGTTAACATACATGTGAGTTAACTGTGAATGTGAGTTTCTTATTTTTCACATGCATTCATATTTAATGTAATTATAAAAAGTGTGTCATTGATTAGCATATCCTGGTTGTTATGCATCTAATTAGAGCTTGTCCCCCCAAACACCATTCCCATGATAAACCTTAAATATTTATAGAGAGCTTAATGAGGAGGATAATTCTGCTGATTGTGTTTTTGTCTCATACTTTAAAGTCTGCGTGAAATCAAAAAGTTTTTTTTATTGTGGTAGTGCTGATTACTAGTCTTGTGGTGAACAATTAATCTGTCTAAGATGCCCACAGAAATAAATTGTTTTTGTAATCTTTGGTCAAAATCTGAAAATTTCCATCCTGGAATGGTGTTCTTTCTCTGATGATGTCGGTTTGACGGCCTGGGGCGGATCATGCTTAATCACTCCCTTCTAACCATCAGTGAAGAGATGAAGCCGCTGATATGAAGCTTGCCATTATATTCTACATTTAATTTCACTTGAAAATACGTCACAATAATAATTTAAAGTTGGTTGGCAACTTTTAGCTCACGTAGACCTTAAAGGAGTAGTTCACTTTTAAAAAAACTTTTCCTGATGATTTACTCACCCCCATGTCATCCAAGATGTCCATGTCATTCTTTCTTCATTCGCAAAGAAATTAAGGTTTTTGATGAAAACATTCCAGGATTTATCTCCATGTAATGGACTTCACTGGGAACCAAACGGTTTAAGGTCCAAAAGACAGTTTCAGATGCAGCTTCAAAGGGCTTTAAACGATTCTAGACGATGAATAAGGGTCTTATCAAGCGAAACCATCGGCCATTTAAAAAATAAATAACAAAGTTTCAGTTTTCGAACTTGTTCATCAAAATGAACAAATCTTTATCCGAGTCAATTCGTTCATTTCGTTCGTTGAATTAACCAAATGACTCGAAAAAAGATTTGTTCATTTTGATGAACGAGTTCGAAGAGGAGAGTCACGAACGCACATCACAGAACAGAGCAAGGCGAGCATTTGAGCTTATAAAACTTAAACTTTGTTATTTATTTAATAAATGAGCGATTGTTTTTGCTTTATAAGACCCTTATTCATCGTCTAGAATCGTTTAAAGCCCTTTGAACAGTTTGCAGTTTGCACTGAAACTGTCTTTTGGATCTTGAACTGTTTGGTTCCCATTGAAGTCCATTATATGGAGAAAAATCCTGGAATGTTTTCATCATAAATTGTAATTTCTTTTCGACTGAAGAAAGAAAGACATGGACATCTTGAATGACATGAGGGTGAGTAAATTATCAGCAAAAGTTTTTTTAAAAAGTGAACTACTCCTTTAAGTGTATTTTTGCCTGAACACGTCAGCAGTTTAAAGTGTGTTTGAGCACTAATGTGAAATTAAACATTTCACACTGACTCTGTTTATGGTAGTGATTCAGCGAGATGTGCTAATGAGTGCTATTAATAGTCCCATCAGATCCAGCCGTACATCACTGAAACCCACAGGGTGACAAGTGACAGAACACTTGGGTTGCAAGTGACTCAGGATTGAATGTGGCGTGTGTATGATGCAAACTTAGTGGTGCGGTGTCAAAATTGACCCTGTTTGGTTCCTTAATGCACATAATGCGCTTTAGTCATTGGTGCGTGTAATAGACTAATAAAAGATAATGAAGACACACATTTTATTTGGTAAAGTCAGCTTGAAATATAAATATTCATCCAGTCTATGTTATAGATCCTAATTTAAACTTTCCATGATCTGTGCATACTTTTCATGTATGTTAAATATACATGTATTTATCTGCCTCTTAGACGGCTTTCTTTTTCAGCTGATATGACCAAACTCCCCTCCAAACATCTTACAAACCTTTTCCACAATCCAATAAAGTCTGATGACTGAAGTCACGTCCTTTGTTCTCTGCGAACATTACTTCAAGCTGCTGTTTAGCTAATTCCGCCACATGCCCTTTCTCCAAAACCCTGCTCACCAATGGCATGTCAGCCAACCTGAACTGGTTAACATGATCAAGTAAGCCAAATAAGAATATATTTACTAACATATTATTCATATTTGTTGTTGTGTGTAGGTTTGGGTCAGTCCAGCGGCCTCTCCAGCCTTTTGACCCACATGTTTCTATCGACGGCTCCAGTGGGGAATCATCATCTGGTTTCACTAGCCAAGAAAGCACGATGGAACGCAACAAATCAGGTAAACAAACACAAGAAAGACATTTATAGAGCTCCAGTCCTTAAACAAAGACTGCTGTAAATGTTTTTGTGCGTACCGCTCCGTCACTGTGTGAACTCTGCCCTCTGCTGGATAAACTCAGAATAAAAGCTCCTTTATCAAACCCACTGGTGATCAGAGGCTGAGAGATAGTCACTAGTATGCTGATATTCAGGTGTCTGACTCCTTCAAGTACGGTATTAAAGATCTTTTTCTTGATTGCAATAAAAATATAAATATTACATGAAATAAGTCAACTTAAATGTTGTTCTAAATGAAATTGAAATGCTATATATGCTATATATGCTATATATAATGCTATATAATCAAATATGTAAACATGTATAATAGTATGTAAATAGGGGTGGTGATGGTGCAGTGGATAAGACGCATGCCTTTAGTGTGAGCGATCCGGGTTCGAATTCGCTGTCAGACACAAATGTGTCCCTGAGCAAGACACTTAATCCCTAGTTGCTCCTCTGACTTATATAGCAATTGTAAGTCGATTTGGATAAAAATGTCAGCTAAATGAATAAATGTAAATAATGCTAAACTGAGACCCTGTTTACAGCTGATATTAAGATGCATTTTGGTCGATTGTATCATAAGTAGACGAGGGAGACATACCCGTTTACACCTGGTGTTTTAAATCCGTCTCTTTTGTCCACTTTCAATCACTTCTGTCCTGATTTCTTGGGCTATGAGCGGGTAAATGTATGGGATTTTTCAGATCTTTCGATCTAATGGAGAGCAGCAGCTTTAGTTTCTGCTCTGACAGCTGTAAGACCAGCCGAGTGTGTGTTAGAAATCAGGAATGGTGAGAGAACATTGTGCTTAGTATGTTTCTTGTCTTCAAACCAAACATGGGTCTACAGCCGACAAAGTGTAAATCCCGTCCGGCTTGAGCGTTTCCTGGATGTTATCACATTAGGTCAGTAGGCGGAGAGAAGACAGTCTTTTGAACACATTCAGCCACTACTAAAGCAATCCGGTCCAATGTGTTTTTGACTTACTCTGATTTGCTCTAAAAAGTTTTAGACCCATTTACTCCTGTATTTAGCATCGTCCACTTGTGATCCAGTTGACCAAAACGCATCTTAATATCATGTGCAAACAAGGCCTGAAAGAAACGCAACAAACATCTAATAATCAAGCACTATAAAGAGTGGCAAACACCCTTAAGGGGACGTTCACACTGTAACGATACCCTCACGTCATGATTCGATACATATCACGATACTGAACTCACGATACGATATTATTGCGATACTCCAAGACATAAGGTAAAAGGTTTACAAAAAAATGTACTGTTGATTTAAGATGCTAAATTCAATATTACATTGTGTGTGTAAATGAATAGGCTTGGACTTGGTGCTTATAACCCAAGGACAATTTAGGATGATATGCTCGCACGCTTTCACTGACTATATATATTTAAAATAATGTCGGCCACTTTTTACTGGTGACATCAGACATTTGGCATTATCAGGACCCACAGATACTCCCCCATTGCATTAGTATACATTTTATCAACATTATATATAGTAGTTTAATATAAGACTTACACTAAAACTCTGAAAACTTGAATTTTTTCCACTATCCACGATACATATTGTCGCATTTTTGTATTGTGATATATTGTTACACCTCTAAACTCGGTACAAGTCGTCTGGAAGTCATTTATTTTCAATGAGTGACTGATTCTGTCAGTGTGAACTGGGCTTCACCTGTTTGTGTGTGTGTGTGTCGGACAGAGCCCATGTGGCATGTTCCTGCGTCATCACGAGGTGTGTCAGTCGCCTCCGCGCAGAGAAGACAAACCCGACAGGACGTTGCAGGGAAAGACTCTCCAAACCGGCACTCTAAGGTGAGCCGTCGTCCTCATCATCGTGAGAACAAGGAAGCGGTTTCATTTGGCTCTCAGTCTCATGTACTTATGTCTCTGCTCTCTCTCAGGGTGAGACACACTATTCCAGTCACTCCAGCAGTAACACACTCTCCAGCAACGCTTCCAGCAGTCACAGTGACGAGCGCTGGTTTGACGGGATGGGAGGTGGGGTTTCCGGTGTCCCGAGTGACCCCTCAGACCCCGACCCGGACTTAATGGGCAAGGGAGGGTCCAGTGACAGTGGCATCGATGCTTCTCTCTACACACCGAGTCCCAACACTAAAGGAGCCAAACCTAGCCGCAGTCTTGCAGGAACGCCCCACAAACCCCTGCATGGCTCTGCGACCTACAGCGGCTTGCAGGATCTGTCGGGAGCCGGAGAAGGGCGGCGCAGGGAGTCGTCACCCGTCATCGCTGCATCAGCCAGTCAAAGCAGGAACTACCGCACACGAACATTCCCCCCTCCGGGATCGGCCAACGCTGACAACTTCAAAGCGAGGTATTGTGTTTATTCTGCAATGGAAAGACCATTGTTTAACCTCGGATGGTCTTCGGGGTCCCAAATGACTTTTGCTTGAATTACATTTTTTTTTTCTGTTTTTCCAAATGGTATGAAACTTCCTACAGCTCTCAACACTTTCTAGATCTACCAAAAAAAAAAAAAATGGAATGTTATCTGTTTTTATGTAGGCATGACAAAAATATTCTCACTCGTGGTCTTCGGGGTCCGTTGGACCTCAAAAGATAAAATGTAATTTTGTAATAGAACATTAGTTTTTTTTTAACAAATATAATTTTACTGTTTATTAATGTGAAATTAATGAAAGTTATAAATCTGGGTCTTTTATAAAGTTTATTTAACATAAAATGCTGTTTAAAAAAAAAAGAAATCTTATTTAAATAAATATTTATTTATTTATAGAAATTAAAAAAAAATCATAAATCCTCAACAAAAAAAAAACTGCACAAATTTTGAGTAAAAATATTAATAAACAGAGTAAAAGTATATTTAATATTATAAATATTATTATAATATAAAAATATTATTGTGTTACAAAATTAAATCTTATTGTCTGGGGTCCAATAGACCCTGAAGACCACGAGTTAGCTTTTTTTTGAAGACCATCAGAGGGTTAAAAGTTTGAGTCATCAAGAAATTAAAGGGGGTTATATGATATGATGCTTTTTGATGTTTTCCTTTAGTGTGTAATGTATCTGTTTGTGCTTGAATGCGATCTGCAAAGTTACTAAGCTCAGTCTCACACAAAGGGATTTATTCCACTGATCCAGACTTGCCTAAAACACCTCGATCATAGCCGAGATATAACTTCCTCAAACTATGTGAAATATTAGCATAATGGCCAAAGGCATACAAGAGAAGAGGCTTTAATGACTTGTAGTGTTGTCGTCATGTCGTAGAGACGCTGTGTGTTTGGATGTGAAAGCAAAACTCCTTTGTTTGGCCTTCCAAAAAGTAATACAATTAGGAATCAGAGGCAAAGATTTATTTATGAGGTTTGTGCACAGTGCATTTTACGGAGGACAGATTCCTGAACCTGAGAGAAGACAACGCTGACTATCAAACATTTTGCTTGAAACAAGTCATGCTTGCAAAGTTGGTTTTCGATCGATAGGCTTGATCATCCACATTTTCAGAATCCGACTCGCTCGAACTGACGACGTTATTATAAACTTTGTGTTTAAAAATTGCTTAAAGCCTTGGAAGCTGAAGCTTGGGATTATGGTAAATGGTGTTACATTTCCAACACGTTTGAGGTGATTGGCCAATCACAACGCACTGGGTCAGCTGACCAATCAGAGCACTCTGAGCTTTTCGAAAGGAGGAGCTTTGTAGAAATCAGACAGACTGAGAATAGAAGAGCTGTAATAAGTGTTTTTTTAACATTAAAGCATGTTAACTTATTCTATTATACCCAATAATCAAAGTAATGAACTTATAAAATAGTATCATATAACCCCTTTAGTACTATTATACAGCAAGGATGCATTCATTTGATCAAACGTGAAGATGTTCTATTCTATTCTAAATGATTCTATTTTAAATAAATGCTGTTCTTTTCAACGTTCTATTTGTCAAAGAATCCTAACAAAATAAAAAAAAGTTTTACAGTTTCTATAAACCTATTATTAAGCAGCACAACTGTTATCACCATTGATATTAAGAAATGTTTTTTGAGCAGCAAATCATCATATTAGAGTGATTTCTGAAAGATCATGTGACACTGAAGACTGGAGTAATGATGCTGAAAATTCAGCTTTGATCACAGGAGTAAATTACAATTTGAAATTGTAATAATATTTCTCAAGATTACGGTTTTAAATGTATTTTTGATCAAATGAATGCATCCTTGGTGAGCAGAAGAGACTTCTTATTCATAAGAGAAATCTTAATGAATTGTGTGTGTTTAGGGCCTGCTATACCCCTCAAGGGTTTAAGACCCCTGCTGTGGCCGATAAACCCCGGCCTTTCAGATCTTCAACAGTCACACCCGTGTCAGGATCCGCCCAGCTGTCAAGCTCCGCCCCCAAGTCATTAAGTAAAAGCAAGAGTGCATGGCAACAGGAGGAGAACATCACAGCAACCAGCACCACCTCCACTGACAGCAACAGCAACAAGTACATATGTTTATAAATGTTTACATTTGCATATTTGTGTTGGATTATGAAATAGATGCATCACATATGTGAATGTCCTGGTGCTTTCAGGCAGGTGGATATGAACAGTAAGAACGTGTTCGGACAGCCTCGGTTACGTGCCTCTCTGAGGGACCTGCGCTCACCACGCAGAACTCACAAGAGCACCGTTGAAGACGACTTGAAAAAGCTCATCATTATGGACAACCCTGCGGATACGCCATCACGGGATGCGGTGAGCACACACAAACACTGAAAAGGCTACAAAACTGCTTGTAAACACAACTATGATTTGAGCGTTGCGTGTTTGCTCTCCTCTACAGTCTCCTCATCGGACCCTGCAACGTACTTTCTCAGATGAGAGTCTGTGCAGTGGACGGAGAGATTCTAGTTATGCAAGCACGCCTCTTTTTGAAGGACAAGTGCCGCCCAGTGACCTTCTCTTCACATGCACGCTGCCTATTCGTCGCCACGGTCACAACACCAACCATGGAGCCCTCATGCCCAGTAAGAAAGGTGGGTGGCATTTGCTAATAAGTTGTGTCCCAAATGGCGCACTATACAATATCTACTTAAAGGATTAGTTCGCTTTTAAAATAACTTTTGCTGATAATTTACTCACCCCCATGTCATCCAAGATGTCCATGTCTTTCTTTCTTCACTCGAAAAGAAATTAAGGTTTTTGATAAACATTCCAGGATTTTCTCCATATAATGGACTTCAATGGGAACCAAACGGTACAAGGTCCAAAAGACACTTTCAGTGCAGCTTCAAAGGGCTTTAAACAACACCAGATGCTGAATAAGGGTCTTATCAAGTGAAACGATCACTCATTTATATAAAAAAAAAGATTAAGTTTTATAAGCTCAAATGCTCGCCTTGCTCTGTTCTGTGATGCGAGTTCATGACTCTTCTGTTCGAACCCGTTCATTAAAATGAACAAATCTTTTTTCTAGTCATATTGTTGTTCGTTGAATGAACCAAATGACTCAAAAAAAGATTTGTTCATTTTGATGAACGAGTTTGAACAGGAGAGTCACGAACGTGCATTGAAGAACAGAGCAAGGCGAGCATTTGAGCTTATAAAACTTAAACTTTATTATTTATTTTTTAAATGATGAACCGTTTCACTTGATAATACCCTTATTCATCGTTTCACTTGATAAGACCCTTATCGTTTCGCTTGATAAGACCCTTATTCATCGTCTGGTGTCGTTTAAAGCCCTTTGAAGCTGCATTGAAATGGTCATTTGGACCTTGAACCGTTTGGTTCCCATTAAAGTCCATTATATGGAGAAAATCCTGGAATGTTTTCATCAAAAACCTTAATTTCTTTTTGACTGAAGAAAGAAAGACATGGACATCTTGGATGACATGGGGGTGAGTAAATTATCAGCAAAAGTTTTTTTTTAAAGTAAACTACTCCTTTAATGTATGTATGCACTATGTACTCATCCGTGTAGTGGATTAATTTTATAAGGTTATTTTGTCATTCAACATCGGAGTCTTATGCCCCTCCCCCCCGCTACGTAATTAAAGTTGCGTCGGTTGAGTCCATGAAGTGTCCAACAATTATTTTTCCCATTATCCAGATATTTAAAGTGCACTTTTTCTTTATTTAAATATATATTTAAAGTGTATTTTCAGTGTGAACACACTACTTGCACTATTTATACTTAAAGATGTCATCGAATAGTGCAATTGGGATGCGGCTATAGTCAGTTGGCATCGTTTACTGTTATCTGCTAATAGCATTGGAATAAACTGTCCATTTGTTGTTCCTCCAGTACCGTTGTCTGCATCAGAGTTGTCATTGACTGAGGTGAGGGATAAGGTTCCTCCTCTCAGAAGACTGGACCCTGGACTCATACCTCTTCCTGACACTGCCTGTGGACTGGAGTGGTCCAGCCTCGTCAATGCAGCCAAAGCATATGAAGGTATGAGGCCGCAGTTTCTACTCGGGATGCACAATATCGATATCGGCCGATGAACGGTCATTTTTCATGTAATCGATCCGATAAGAGAATTATGCTGATGTATCAAAGCCGATAGATAAAAGATGCCTTACTTCAGTTGAGAGATGCGCGCTGTTCGCCATGATGGTTTTGAATGATTTCACTTCGAAAAGGAGCAACACAAATCTGTCACATAGGCTTCATAACATTATAATGAGAACACTACTGTAAAAGAATGTTGTGAATTCTTGTTCGCTAGTGTTTCAGCGCGACGAGTGTGTTGTGGAGTAGAGAGTTAAGCCTTCATGACAAGCACAGTCAAATTCGCTTGCCAATTTTTTGCCATTTTTAAGTTTTAATATGTTTATTTCGAGTAGCCTATATATCTGATTAATCTCATACAGGATGCGTTTGGTTGAGTTCATGAACGATGCAGTAAAAGCACTTCATTCTAGGCCTACAGGTGATCATCTTTATCTTTAGCGTGTAAAATTTATTTGAAAAGTTAAGGGATCTTACACGGGTTTACTAGGCTACTGTATTGTATATGTTTGATTTATGTTGAGGCTTTTAATGGCGAGCCTTTTGTTTTTGTATTCAGGCTATCAAAGTATATCAAAATTTTAATTTAGCTTTATCGGTCCATATATAGTATCGGTTATCGGCTTTCGAATGTAACAAATTATCGGTTATCGGTTTATATTTTTTCAATCTAAATTATGAGAAACGATCATTTACATATTATGAAATTTAATTTCTGTTTTTTGTTATTTTTGACTTTTTATCTCATAATGATGCCATTTTCAAAATGATTGTCATAATTATTGTCATAATGAAAATAATGATTGTCAATTAAAACGAATAAAAATAATGATCGTCATAATTTTGACTTTTTATCTCATTGACGACTTATTTCATAATTTCAATGTCATAATTTGATTTTTTTCCCCTAATTAATAATTATATCATATTTTTTCATAATTTCAACTGTCGTAATTTATTTGATCTAAATCATCAGCACTTTGAATTTTTTCTCATAGTTGACTTATTTCATAATTTCAACTTTAGATATGTAGTTTCATAATTATTACTACTTATTTAATTTTTACTTTTTGTCATAATGTAGGTTTTTTTTCTCAGATTTTTGACACTTTATTGCATAATTTCAACTTAATAAAAATTATGAATTACCAAAGCATGATTTTTTTTTTTCTTATGTGGTGGAAATAGACTTCCATATAAAGGTGATGCCATTTATAAGAGTGTAAACGCATGGCTCTTTGTGATTTACAGACTTAACCTCTGAGTTTGTTTTGTGTCTGCAACACTCCCATGTAGTATGAAATGTATTAAAGAGTCATTGGTGATCTTAATGATTAATTATGACTGTTTTATTTTACAGTGCAAAGAGCTGTTTCTTTGTTCTCATTGTCTGAGTCTCACGCGGGCAGCAATGAGCTGAGACCCGTCATCAGTCCGGTGCCTTTCCACACGCCACAGACTCCCCGCACCACTCCGACTTTCAGCAGGTACTGTATCTATACTTGCTCTTCCTCTGAGGGTTTGTATTTACACCAAGGGGACAACATTGTCTGCAATTTTCCATAAAGTTTTGGATGGGTGTTCAAATAAGCTAGGATACTGGTTTTAACTTGTGTTTAATGTGTGTGTTGCAGTGAAGAGGCTCCTAATGACCTGTCTGGGCGTCTGTATCATCTGGAAGTCATGCTGAAACAGCTGAACACTGATCTGGAAAAAGTGAGTTACATCGGAGGGATCCGACCAGCGCAGGACAGGTTCAATAGGGATGGGTGTTTTGAATAATTTTGTAGTTGACGAACATATAAAACAAAAAAAGTTTTAGTTGAAATGAATGAATGAATGACAAATTATATAAAATTACCAATCTGTTACCAATAGAGTTCAATGGAACTTGCAAACATGGCTAACGATGCTTTTGGGAAACGCACCCCTGACCAAGTTTCCATCATAAAAGCAGATATCAGATATATATTAACATATCTATAGAGCGCTGCAGGGATGATGTATTCAGGCCAGAAGTTGGCATCACACTGGTTCCTTCTGTAAAAAGCCATTAAGATTTTTCCATCTGGATGATTGCATATAAGCTCTGTGACCAAGAAAGTTTTATGATTCTCACATGTTTTGTCACTTTTATACATTTTGAAGCCTAATTACAATGGGCAGAAGTAAAAACCTAGTTCAGACACCTACCAAAGTTTGAATAGCTTGCAAGAGCGTGACTATAAACACAATGACTCTGTGAAAGCGGATTGGTCAGTGGATGAGTTTCCTATTTCATCGTGATGATGTTTAATGTCCCAGACAACCTCTGTAGTCCCATATAGCCACTTCTTAGCAAGCGACACGTAAAAACTTTCAAGATTGCACTGGGGTTTTGATTATGTATTTTATATTGTAAAATAAAAACTACAGGCCTTATTTCAGGCCTTTAACCAAAAAAAACCTGTTTTAAGAGCGATGGAATTGCTTACTAGTTTCTAAGACTCGTTCCTGCAGCACTTATAAAGAATAAAAATAGTAGCGCACTTGGATCTCTGAACACAACGGCACACGTTCACTCTTGAAAGCGAGATTCAGGTGAAGGATTCAGTACATGATGCAAATAAAATGCATTTGTGTAGTTTTACGTGTGGTGTTGTTGGTGCAGAAAGTACTAGCTTAGCCGATTACCTGTGCACAGGTCATGAACTGCATTTTTTATAATGTTTCCTGTGGTGCACTTATAATGTTAGTATGATTTTTACATTAAAAAAAATTGTCATAAGTTAGAAATAAAAGGTAATTTTCTACCCTGATTTTAGCCGTCTGATTTGAGCGCTCCGTTGGAAGGGTCGTGTCTGCTGCTGTGAGACGCGTAAACGCCCACTGCTGTGATTGGCTAACATCTTGCAAGTATTACATGTGAAACTCTCTCGAAATCTTTTACTACGTTTCTACTATTACAGCTGTCGAGATGAACTAATCGTGAAAACGTCGATTACCGCATTAAATTACCTCTTGTAACCACAGCCACGTCCAAGTGATCTGAGGGCGCGGGCGTTTTGTGGGCGTGGTTACAAGAAGTAAAAAACGATATAAATACTGTTGGGTTTTTTTCACACAAACCGCTCGTTTCGTGTCTTAGGCCATCAATGTGTACTTACATTCACGAGTCATTAAATCATGTTTAATTTGGACTTCTCTGTGCATGCTCTTTGAGGTGGTGACCATAGACCTCCATTATATGACTGATTGACCTAAAAATATCACTACTGTCTGTGGAAACAAAGACACCTACATCTTGAATGCCCTTAAAATTAATTGCAAAGTGAACTATCCCTTTAAGAATTAACACGCTTACTTACATATTGTGGCATTACTATGGGGTTCATATTTTGTTTTCACCGAAATTGTGACTGATTTACCAAAGAATCCAGAGTGAAATGTTCAGAAGAAACAAAAGTGCTCTCCTGAGACATTCTCATAGTTAAAAATAATGAAGCACTTTCCCAACATTAGGATCCTTTGGAAGGTGATGTTATTTCTAGTCCAGTGATCCTGTATCACTCTGCTTCGTCTCTATAACGTGCCAGTGGGCGGGGCCAAAGATGTGATGACGTATAATGCATCATGTGCTATGGTAATTATTAGAGCACGACCGATAAAGGTTTTTGAAGGCCGATACAGATACAAATATTTTGGGGTTTTAAAATCCGATATTCCGATATATCGGCCGATTTTTTTTTATTTATTTTTTTATTAAATATTGTTGTGTTACACACACGTGTAAAAGAAAAGCTAACTTTTCTGCACAAGATACGTTTGATGCTTTTTCTCTATGTCTAAATGTTCACTCCTCGCAAGTATAACTTCATTTTACAATGCAGGGATTGTAACTAGAGATATGCTAGTTATAAATACAGTAATCATTACTTTATTTAGGTAGAAAAAGTAAATTGTGGTTTCCAAGCTCATTAATGTTAACATTAGCGGTCTTCCACTGATGATAGTTGCATTAGCTAGCTTTGTGGTTAGCTAGTCTATGATGAGTCATAATTTAGCAATAGATAACATCATACTGCATATTGTAAAACATATATTTTGAATATAACAGGCCAAGGAGAGATGATTAAAGCGTTTTTTCGTCCATTTTTATTTTATTTTTTAAACATTCATTTATCGGCCATAATAACTGCCGATACCGATATTATGGAAAATGCCTAATATCGGCCGATAATATCGGTATGGCTCTAGTAATTATGGTAAATACCAAAAGCCGACGTGGAAAATGCACATGAACACCCCCACATGTGGTATTTTCCACTGGGCAACTCGTAGAATATTTTGATGGACGAGTTGCCGAGATGAGATAACCTTTGATCTTTTCAAAATGGCGGAGAGCACCGCGAGAGTCGTGAATGGTAAAAATATACTATTCATGATCTAGAAAATATAGGCTACAGCATATTATTTACCTTTTGAGTTTTGATGAATCATTTTCTTGCTGTTGCAGATGACTTAAGCAATCTAAAATAGTTTTAGCTAAATAACAGGTCTGGATCTCCATCTTTTTACCACATTACGACAACAAAAGCACTTGAAGGCAACACACCAGTTCACAAGTGGAAAATATCCTATTTTCCATAGCACGTGAACGCAGCATAAGTGTATAAGGCGGTCTTTCATCGCACTATTACATCATAATGTGACAGAATCTGTCCCATTTTCAGAGCTTGGTTTCAATAAAAACTGTTTTTGGATAAATGAGGAACTTTTAAGTTCTGAAACTTACAGGATGTTTTTATTTTATAGTACAGTAACCTGTCAATAAAATCTTTTGATTTCTCCCTTCATGACCCCTTTAATTGTAAAACAATAAATGTCAAAAAATGAAAGAAGATGAAAGTGTTTCAAATTTGTTTATAATTAGGATAAACCCCTTGAGATGCATCATCTCGTTTTCGAGGGTAAAGATTTTACCCATTTTTGATGACATCCTCTAATCATGCTTCTCTCTTTCTCTCCTCCTTTTCCCTCTCAGGAGAAACAAGACAAGGCCGTGTTGTTAGCAGAGATGGCTAATCTGAGGCACAACAACCAGCGTCTGCAGGAGGAATCGCACTCAGCCAGTGAACAGCTCCGCAAGTTCAGTAAACTCTTATCCTCCACCATTCCTGAGAGGAAATGAGTGCTTCCTGCCTTTTCATTTACGAAGAGAAGATGAGAGGGGATCTTCACGTACCTGTACTGTGCCTAATATGGCATGTTTAGCTCATTTAATTCAAAGTCTCGTATCGCCCAGTTCATCCACTGTCCCGCCCGCCCTCATATAAGGCAAGTCTGCCAGACCTGTGAGCTTCATGAGAGTGTGACGGAGGGAAACCGAGAGTTTTTGCGGGTCAGCCAGATGACTTGAGACTTTAAAGCTTTAAATTAAAGCCGGTACAGAAGTACGAAGTATATTTTCCCACACACACACACACACAAGCGAGCTCTTTATCTGATTGAACTACTTTCGGAACTATTTTCTCATCGTAGATTTATTTTTGTACTCGACGATTCGACACAAAGCTTGAGCCAGTGAAACGGAGAGGCCTATTTACTGCACAGTCAGCTCAACAGCCAAAAAACAAATCAAAAAACAGATTTCCCAGCACGTCGAGGGAAATCACGGTACTGTAAGCGTGAGGAGAGGTACAGTGCTCTGGGAAAGTCTAATTATAAACCACATGTGCAGGTACAGACGCTGTTGTATTCATATTTCTATTCAACGGAGAGGCAATTGTACAAACCATCCCTCATCTCAACAAATGTTCAACGCAGACTGAAAGCCCTCTGCAATAACAGCTCTAAAACTGTGATGTTCCACCCAAGTCTTTGATCGTCTCCTCTGTGCATGGACATCGTGACAGTGTCATGTGACAGGAATTGCCACTATAGCACTGTGTGTAAACTTGGGCCGCTCTGTCAGATTCCGACACTGTATATGAATATGCAAAGCCGACTCTAAGAAGCCCTAGTCAGCTGTGTTCAGACTCTATTTTTCTATTTGTATTAAGTTCAGGTTTATCAGGTGAAACGACTGTTGGCAATAGATGGCTGTTTTCAACTTCTAGACAGATCATCGTGTTTACAAGACGATCCGCGCCGCACTCGGGACTGCAGTTGTTTATGAGCTCTGGAAAATCCTAACTGGAATAACCGTCGAATATGGTTTAACATGTACCCCATGTTACTGTGTACATGTCTGCCTTAAAAGTGGTCATCCGTGACCAGTGATGTGTTGTGATTTACGACCCATGTCGGCTCTCTCCATCCCTTTAACCTGACGCGACTGGAAAAAGATCTCCTCCTCTCTCAGGACCCGTAAGCTGCCCTCTCGATGACCTGATCTCTAATTCCTCTGACCTATTTATTCACACCAAGCGAAAGCACTGCATATTGCATTAGTCATCATAAGTGAAAATGATGTCTCCGCTCTTCTCAGACACACAAAAAACAACTATATACATCCTAGCACTGTAAAACGCAAAGGTTTTTATTTATGGGGTGAGGGATACAAATAATAAGCCCTGACATCATTCTTTGCAGCTGTTTAGTAGTGTAATTGTATAGTGCTTTTATACTAAGCTTTAAACGTTACATGTTCTCCCCACTATTAATGAGGATAAAAATACATTTAAAGGGACAGGTTCTATTTATTCTCACCCTCATGTCGTTCCAAACCCGTATGACTTTCTTTTCTCTGTGGAATATCGTTTGAAGAATTTGGTCCCCATTGAGTTACATTGTATTTTACGTCCATCTAAAGAAAGTCGATGGGTTTGAGTAGATAACGACATGAATTTTCCCTTTAAATGAAAGTCTGTATACATGTTGGAAGCTTTTAGTTACACATGGTCACATTATCATATGATAAGCTCATTCATCCCCTCGTTTAGATCAGATTTTCTCATCTCATTGCTGTGACTACAAGAGATTCACCCACTGTGTTTTTTTCTGTCAATGAAGTGGGAGGTTTCTCAGACTCTTGGTGTGTCGCTCGGTTCCTGGGTGTCATATCTACACCATGGATTGTCTTATGATTTCTGTTTGTATGCTTGTTTGATAGTCGGGTGGAGGTGTTTCGAATTAAGTTTGTTTTTAGGGATAAATATGAATAATATACTTGTGAAAACATCTATGTGCATCTGTGTTGCGCATTCTTAAATCATGGCAAATTATATAGTCCAGCTGTAATATTTGAAGGTTTATTTTTATGTGTAATATTTTGACTATTTATTTTGATTCTCTTTTTTTTTTCGTTCGTTCTTTTTATAAATACGAAAAGACAAATTCAAGGTGAAAATTCAAGATTACAGATTTGGTAACGTTATTGGAGGGTACTGAGTCTATGTATTTTTTTAGTTTTTCTTTTATATTTTGTTTGATTCATGATCTTTTGTACAAAGCTGATTTTATCCTTTGTTTCTTATTTTTAAACTTTATTGTAATTCACATTTTGTCTCTGTTTCCGTTAGCTTCATGCATGAAACAGCGGCTCTGATGCCTTGATTTAACTATTGATAACTGATTGATCTTTCAGTTTCTTTTAGGGATGTTGTATCAATGAGTGTACATTTAATAAGTGTAAATTATGTTTTCATTATTTTATAAAAAAATATATTAAAATATTTCATAATGATACCAGTCTCGACTGTTATTTTATTTGACTAATATTTTATGCTATACTGGGAGAGAAATGCTTGTGTGATTGACATGATTGAAATGGTCATACTGTGAGGAATCTGAAGTCTAAAAAGTCTATCTGTTGCAACTAAACTGTATAAAAACATCTCATTCTGAAAAACCTTGGACACCTTCAACCTTAACAATGGCAGCTATTCAATATGCAGAAACTTGGTCTAACTATTAGAAATATGGTGAAAGTAGGACAGATGCTGTTATTCCTAAAAACCAGAAGAAAAGATATAAAGCTATTGGACTCTAAAAACAAGGCACTGACAAAAGACAGGTGTGTGTCAACAAAATTGAGTATATCGAATATCGTGGAAAAGTTTTTATCAACGTAAAACTTTCATATAGATTCTTTAGGCATTAAGTAAAATATATCAAGCCTTTTTTCAATAATTATGGCTTACAGCTCATGAAAATAAAAATCCAGTATTTCAAATTATTACAATATTTCCTCAAATAAATCTGAAAGTCTGCAGATCGAAGTAGACTAGGTTTATGGTGATCTTTTTTGTATAAACAGATGCTGTATTAAGCAGTACATAAAGTATTAAACTGAAATGTCTGTGTATTTGACAAATATTGCCTTTATTTCACTATAATTCGCTGTGATAAAGTATGCAAACGTCCTGCTGCAGCGTGGAGAAATGCCAGCCACGAAAGTGTGGTAAAGTGGTGGTGTTTGTGGGCTGTCCCTTTAAGATGACGCAATACCTCAGTCACATGACATCACCATGGCGGAAGCGCAGTTAAAATAAGCTGCAGCACTGTGTGTACACCACTCGTTAGGAGCTTGATTAAAAGAAGCAGAAAGGGAAAAGCCGTATATTTTTAGTTAGTTCGCCATGCATACGATTTCAAACATCTAACGTTAGGGACTTCAGAAGAGTAAAGCTGCTGCTGTAGGCGGTGACTGAGTGACTGAAGTCCAGCTCAGGTGTTCACAGAGAGAGTTCAAGTCAGCGACTGCATTGATTGTTAATAATAGACGCAACATTGACTCCAGGCGAAAGGATGTAAGTTACTTTACGCGTTTGTGCTCTTTGCGGATGCGGAGCTATTAAGGAAGTTTCTGGCAATATCTCAGTTAATTTATACAAGGTAAAAGCAGTTTTTCATGTGACGTTTTAAACGGATAAGCAATTCTAGTAACGTTAGATTAAACGTCATCTCTGGTTCTTGTTTACGAGGCAAATACAAAAGACCTGATACACCTCAAGCATTACGCGTTTTGTTAAGCTCTAAAGTGTCATATAGATTAACGTTAGTGTTTTATAACGTTACAGCATCAGTGCGCGCTGCACGGTGACAATCGCGTTTAACGGACAAAGTTGGTCGTTTGAAGTGCTGACGTGTCGTTTGGCCAGCGACCAGTGCCGCATCTGTAGGGACACGCCTGTCCGCTGTCCCAGCACCCATAACTGGGAGTCAGCACTCAAAGCCACGTCAAAATGTCAAGAACCAGTCGAAGGGCCAAAGCTTTGCACCCCAGTAACGGGCACACGCTGGCCGGATGCAATCCGCTGAGAGCGGCGCGCGTGCGCGTGCTGCTGCTGTGTCTCTGCGGCGCGCTCTCGCTTGCCGTGATTCTGGTGCTGTATATCTCTGCGGAGTCCAGTACCAGCAGCTCAACACAACACCACAATGCAGATCTCATCAGGGACAGGGTGAGTTCACATCCAGCTAAAGTATGGCAATGCATGCTAACGACAGTATACACAATCATGTTGACCCCTGACATTATTTGTTCCCGAGTGAAGCCTGCATTTATTTAATCAAAAATGCAGAAAAAATAATAATATTGTGAAATATTATTACAACTTAAAATAATGGTTTTCTATTTTAATTTATTACTCCAGTCTTCAGTGTCATGATCCTTCAGAAATATGATGATTTATTTATTATCAATGTTCGAACCAGTTGTGCTGCTTAATATATATATATATATATATATATATATATATATATATATATATATATATATATATATATATATATAATTTATTTTTATTTTATTTATTTTTTTGGAAACTGTGATACTTTTTTTATTGATGATTAAAAATTAAAAAAACCAAACATTATTTATTCTAAATAGAAACATTTTCTAGCAGTATAAATCTTAACTCTTACTTTTCGTCACTTTAACGCGTCCTTGCTGAATAAAAGTATTAATTTCTTTCAAAAAAGAAAGGAAAAAAGTACTGACCCAAAACATGTGAACAGTTGTATATATTGTTACAAAATTGTTATTAAGCATCACAACTGTTTCCAACACTGATAATAAATCATCATATTAGAATTATTTCTGATCATGTGACACTGAAGACTGGAGTAATGCAGAAAATTCAGCTTTGCATCACAGGAATAAAATATGTTAAACTAGGAAAAACATTAATATTTCTGAATATTCTTGTTTTTTTCTGTATTTTTGATCAAATAAATACAAGCTTAATGAGCATAAGAGACTTTATTTCAAAAACAATAAAAAATAGTCAAGTTTACAAACTTTTGATTGCCACTGCTATTTCCCAAAAGTAAAGTGACTGTGTATTGACAAAAATACCATGAAATTAGCTAATTGTGCATCATATTCCATTAGATATTCCATGCATAGTTATCATATGACACAAGATTTTGTCATTCAAATCAGAGCCCAGCGTACTTTAGTTTTTAACGTGCTTCAACACATCTCCCTTGAAGTTTTTATTAATTACCTGGTTCAGATTAGTTTAACAAGGATTAGAGCTAAATTCTACAGGACGGTTTATTGGACATCATCCTTGTACACATGTCTACCTCTACCTTATTCTTTCTACAGCTTTCCCATAAGCCAAGTAAACACTCAGTAGCACAAATAAAGAAGTTTGCAGCACAGGTGGATGGGCATCGGCTCTGGAAGACTCACCTGCGACCCCTCCTGATTCAACGAGTGCCTGGGACTGCAGGAAGTCAGACCATACGACAGGTAATGCCACAGACCGAACAACACGTATATCTGGACCACAATTGACAATATACAGTAGTCATGTAAGTGGGTCAAAAAAAGTTCCTCAAATCTGTCTTAACCCTTAAACTGACTTCTCAACCAAACGGTTGAGCACATTTTGAGTCACTATATTTTATCTATTGGTTGAGGTAAATAATGCCATAAAAATCCACTAGATTTCACAGTGTCAATCGACAGTCGCTTCTTCTAACATGGATGTCAGAAACAAATAAATCACACCAACCATGTGAACTGTTTTTGGTGAAATTTTGCAAGCTATGCATTTTTTTTTACATATTACACTGTAAGAGCCTTGACTTTACAAAATGATGTTACTTGGTGCTATGAAAAAAATGTACGTATATTTTTAATAATTTTTCAAAAACATGCTCGACCAAACGGTTGATTTGGCACATAACGGTTAACTGTCTCTTGAGAAGTGACATTACAATGCACTATTAAAACTTGGTTGTAATTCAAGTATGCTTTGGAATAAAGACCTAATAAGTTTAGTCTTGTTTTAAAGAAAACACTCAGCAGATTACTGCTGAAGTAAAAGCACTTCAAAAAATGTGAAATGTATAAAAAAGTTATGGAAGTTTTCAATTTTCATTAAATCAAATACACTGTACTAAATATTTTTTTCTATATAAAATATATTTTACAAAATATTTTTCCTATAAAATCAAAGCCATACATCCAACCAAGTTGATATCACAAAAATTGAAGTTCTCATGAGATTTTGTTAATTTTTAATACCAAAAATGACATAAATACCATTGCATTTAATTGTATGCATTCTGCTGTAACAAATTAATAAATGTCTGTCCAAATATCACTTCTGTTACAAAATATGGGACCTGGAGATCATAAATTATGATGGGCAATGAAACAGTATGGCTGTATTTGTATGAATTGTGGTACCATTTATTACCATTAAGTGACATCTCAACCATTTGGTAGAGGCTGAAATTAAAAAAATTATGGGTTGTGTTGAAAAAAAATAAATACATTGAGTAGATACAGCATTTTCCTTCACTTTTTTCTTGGTGTGGGCTTCAAAGGGTTGGACAAGAACAGCTATTGTTCAAAATCCATGTATAACTTTGATGAAGGGTTTTGATCCACTTCAAATGTTGACTACTTCATTGTTTGCTGTTGGTTCTCTCTTCTTAAATAAGCATGCAGTGAAGTTTACTGACGTTCTCTCGCCTCTTGTCCAGCATATCTTGTCCCAGCTGGGCTCACTGTCGGCAGGATGGACGCTGGAGGAGAATTCCTTCGTTTCGTCCACCCCGAAGGGTGACGTGACCTTCACCAATGTGCTAGCAGTGCTGGACCCCTCGGCTCCTCGCAGGCTGATCCTAGCATGCCACCACGACTCAAAGATCTTTCCCATCGACCCTAAAAACCCCAGGCGAGTGTTCGTGGGAGCCAGTGACTCAGCCGTTCCCTGTGCCATGATCTTGGAGCTGGCTGCGTCTCTGGACACACAGCTTAAAGCCCTCAAACAGCAGGTAGGTCGCAATCATGTGATCGAAATCACCTATTCACATGGGACTCATTTTCTAAACCACGTTTATCTTATTATTATCTAATCAATGTACCGATTGAGATGGGACTAGCATCTCCGTGTTTATAACAACCCATGTTTTGTAGATGTGGGCGTTACAGAAGGTCATGTGCTGGGCTTGCTTGTGTCTTTTTATGAATTATTTATTGATATCATGTTAAATTATTATAAAAACTCTTATTTAAATAAACTTCACATGCATACAGTGGCTGTATATAATGATTCCACGTAAGACATGTAGACGGGTATCTTACCTGACAGTAATGTTAAAGTGGGCAGTTTCTACGATCTGGCTCTATTTATTCAGTCGATAATTGTATTTGTATCGGATACTAGCCGTATCGAAATGAAATGAAAGAATGCAGAAGATCGGTGCGCAAACGGTAGTTCAGGTAGGCCAAAAAATACAAAGAGAAGTGTTAGGACACTATCAGCAATCAGACATTCGCATTCGGATAGGATTAGATTTCTCCGAGGGCCATTGTAGGTAATCTGAGGTTGTGTGTGTGTGAAAAACACGGACCTGGACCGTTTGGACAGGATTGAAATCACAAATACGCCTGTGAAACACATCCTCCGGGAAAACTAGTCCCGTCTGAATAGGCCGCAAGAAACACTTGGCATTTTGAACAGGAAAGCGCTGCATCACAGAGCAGATTGTGTTGAATCTAGCCTAAAGTGTGTGTCTGACAGAGAACGAGATGCCACAACACTGTCTATAGTCATTCTCTCGGTCTCTTCTTCTCTCCAGAGGTCTGCGCTGACATTGCAGTTGGTGTTTTTTGATGGAGAGGAGGCCTTTGAGGAATGGACGGACACAGACTCTCTCTACGGTTCTCGTCATCTGGCTGAACTGATGTCTCGTTCCCCTCACCCATCTGGAGCCGCCAAAACCAATCTACTCCAGGCTGTGGTGAGGCTGTGTGCCAGCATCAGTCTATACACACACATATGTATATATATATATATATATATATGTGTGTGTGTGTGTGTGTATGTATATATATATATATATGTGTGTGTGTGTGTGTGTGTGTGTGTGTGTGTATATATAATATATATATATATATGTGTGTGTGTGTATGTATATATATATATATATATATGTGTGTGTGTGTGTGTGTGTGTGTGTGTGTGTGTGTGTGTGTGTGTGTGTGTGTATATATATATACCGTGTGTATATAATATATATCGTATATTATCATAAATCGTAAATTGTCTATATGACCCCAATCGACACAGGTTCCCTTCATCTCAGTGGAATAAGATTTTGTGACTTTTCATAGATTATCTATCTATACACACAAAAAAACTGTGCTTGATTCGGTTGTTCTGAAGGTATGTAAAGAAAATGTTTTCACTTCTGGTCTTCACATTGAAATGAATGGGAAATGTGAAAAAAACTAAATATGCGTCAAAAAAAATCTGGCATAAATCTGAAAGTTTTTACACAGAAATGAAGGCCTAGTACTAGAGCATAAATGCAATGTCTCATAAAAAAATAATATTTCATATGCAAGCTAATGGTGTAGTTAAGGATTTGTGTGGTATATGAATACAAAAGTACTTTATATCTCCAAAAACACAGCATTAATGAATAGATGAGAAGTAAACAAAAAATGATTTATTATTTGTATGATTAAAAATGTATATTTTTTGTACAATTACTCAATCAATTGTTGGGGTCGTGTAGACCCCGAAGGCCAGAAGTGTAAACAGGAAACGAAGACTATTTGAAGGTTAAGAATAATTATATATAATAGGAAAAAAGGTTTATAAGTTAAAGTTAACAGGTTTCAGTTGGCTAATCCGCAAAAGCACAAAACAAAGTATACAAATGAAAAATGGAATATCAAACAATATTATTTAAGTGTATTATTTTTATTATTTATTTTTACTTTACAGTAGATGTTGTGTTTTAATTTTTGTTTAACTAACCCTACACCCAATGTGGGAAATGTAAAAAACAAACAAACAAAAACCTGGTAATATTATTAATTTAATTTAAAAAAATGCATATGCAGTATTTTTTGTTTTGTTAAAACTGTATTTTTCTTCCAGGATCTGTTAGTCTTGCTGGATCTGCTTGGTGGCCCAGAACCATTGATTGTCAATCACTTTGATAACACAGCAAGATGGTTTGACCGACTCATCGCTGCAGGTATAAAAACCAGCCAGATTGGGTTTCTTCCTACAGAAAAATGACCTCTACAGTCAGCAATCCTTTCTGTTTCTCTTTCAGAGAAGAGACTCCACAAACAGGGCTTGTTGACATCTCACCCATCAGAACAGAGTTACTTCAGGAAGGATTTTTATCTTGGCCCAGTGCAGGATGACCACGTTCCATTCCTAAACAGAGGTAAGGAAGCACTGTACACTAATGTTCCAACATGACATCATGACTTTTGCGTAAACATACACGCCACTTTCGAGTCAAGTGGTGTGTTATCTCTACACATTTTGAGCTATCCGCGTGTATGTCCACGGCATTAACGTCCGAGTGATTCTGTCTGTACGCACGGTCAAATGTCGAGCGAAACGAAGCAAAATGTACATCTACATCTGGGGAGCGATCTTTTTCTTTCCTAGGATGGTAAGGGAACAGTCATAAATGCCATTAACCCCAGTGATGGTTAGGTTTATGGAGGCTGTAGACCCTTCCAGAGCTGAGATATCGAAACTCAAAATTTCGACCTGAAAAAAAAACGACAGTGTTACCCCTTACGTTTTTTTTTTGGGCGAAAAATTAAGTATCCCCAATCTTCTCAAAACTCTGGATTCTGATAGAGGGCCATGAGACTTAGACCTGAGTGCAAAAATGGAGGCTGTAGACCCTTCCAGAGCTGAGATATCGAAACTCAAAATTTCGACCTGAAAAAAAAACGACAGTGTTACCCCTTACGGTTTTTTTTTTTTTTTTGGGCGAAAAATTAAGTATCCCCAATCTTCTCAAAACTCTGGATTCTGATAGTGGGCCATGAGACTTAGACCTGAGTGCAACAATGGAGTCCCTCGATGTCCCTAAAAAGTCCCTCAAAAGTCCCTCAAACAATGGCCCTCTGTCAGAATCCAGAGTTTTGAGAAGATTGGGGATACTTAATTTTTCGCCCCAAAAAAAAACAAAAACGTAAGGGGTAACACTGTCGTTTTGTTTTCGGGTCGAAATTTTGAGTTTCGATATCTCAGCTCTGGAAGGGTCTACAGCCTCCATTTTTGCACTCAGGTCTAAGTCTCATGGCCCTCTATCAGAATCCAGAGTTTTGAGAAGATTGGGGAAACTTAATTTTTCGCTCAAAAAAAAAAAAAACGAAAGGGGTAACACTGTCGTTTTTTTTTTCGGGTCGAAATTTTGAGTTTCGATATCTCAGCTCTGAAAGGGTCTAGAGCCTCCATTTTTGCACTCAGGTCTAAGTCTCATGGCCCTCTATCAGAATCCAGAGTTTTGAGAAGATTGGGGAAACTTAATTTTCGCCCCAAAAAAAAAAAACGAAAGGGGTAACAATGTCTTTTTTTTTTTTTTTTCGGGTCGAAATTTTGAGTTTCGATATCTCAGCTCTGGAAGGGTCTACAGCCTCCATTTTTGCACTCAGGTCTAAGTCTCATGGCCCTCTATCAGAATCCAGAGTTTTGAGAAGATTGGGGAAACTTAATTTTTCACTCAAAAAAAAAAAAAACGAAAGCGGTAACACTGTCGTTTTTTTTTCAGGTCGTAATTTTGAGTTTGGATATCTCAGCACTGGAAGGGTCTACAGCCTCCATTTTCGCACTCAGGTCTAAGTCTCATGGTCCTCTATCAGAATCCAGAGTTTTGAGAAGATTGGGGATACTTAATTTTTCGCCCAAAAAAAAAAAAAAAACGTAAGGGGTAACACTGTCGTTTTTTTTTCGGGTCGAACTTTTGAGTTTCGATATCTCAGCTCTGGAAGGGTCTACAGCCTCCATTTTTGCACTCAGGTCTAAGTATCATGGCCCTCTATCAGAATCCAGAGTTTTGAGAAGATTGGGGAAACTTAATTTTCGCCCCCAAAAAAAAACGAAAGGGGTAACAGTGTCTTTTTTTTTTTCGGGTCGAAATTTTGAGTTTCGATATCTCAGCTCTGGAAGGGTCTACAGCCTCCATTTTTGCACTCAGGTCTAAGTCTCATGGCCCTCTATCAGAATCCAGAGTTTTGAGAAGATTGGGGAAACTTAAATTTTCACTCAAAAAAAAAAAAAACGAAAGCGGTAACACTGTCGTTTTTTTTTCAGGTCGTAATTTTGAGTTTCGATATCTCAGCACTGGAAGGGTCTACAGCCTCCATTTTCGCACTCAGGTCTAAGTCTCATGGCCCTCTATCAGAATCCAGAGTTTTGAGAAGATTGGGGAAACTTAATTTTTCGCTAAAAAAAAAAACGAAAGCGGTAACACTGTCGTTTTTTTTTTTCGGGTCGAAATTTTGAGTTTCGATATCTCAGCTCTGGAAGGGTCTAGAGCCTCCATTTTTGCACTCAGGTCTAAGTCTCATGGCCCTCTATCAGAATCCAGAGTTTTGAGAAGATTGGGGAAACTTAATTTTTCGCCCAAAATAAAAAACGTAAGGGGTAACACTGTCGTTTTTTTTCGGGTCGAAATTTTGAGTTTCGATATCTCAGCTCTGGAAGGGTCTACAGCCTCCATTTTTGCACTCAGGTCTAAGTCTCATGGCCCTCTATCAGAATCCAGAGTTTTGAGAAGATTGGGGAAACTTAATTTTTCGCCCAAAAAAAAAAACGAAAGGGGTAACACTGTCTTTTTTTTTTTTTTTCGGGTCGAAATTTTGAGTTTCGATATCTCAGCTCTGGAAGGGTCTAGAGCCTCCATTTTTGCACTCAGGTCTAAGTCTCATGGCCCTCTATCAGAATCCAGAGTTTTGAGAAGATTGGGGAAACTTAATTTTTCGCAAAAAAAAAAAAAACGTAAGGGGTAACACTGTCGTTTTTTTTTCAGGTCGTAATTTTGAGTTTCGATATCTCAGCTCTGGAAGGGTCTACAGCCTCCATTTTTGCACTCAGGTCTAAGTCTCATGGCCCTCTATCAGAATCCAGAGTTTTGAGAAGATTGGGGATACTTAATTTTTCGCCCAAAAAAAAAAAAACGTAAGGGGTAACACTGTCGTTTTTTTTTCGGGTCGAAATTTTGAGTTTCGATATCTCAGCTCTGGAAGGGTCTAGAGCCTCCATTTTTGCACTCAGGTCTAAGTCTCATGGCCCTCTATCAGAATCCAGAGTTTTGAGAAGATTGGGGATACTTAATTTTTCGCCCAAAAAAAAAAAAACGTAAGGGGTAACACTGTCGTTTTTTTTTCGGGTCGAAATTTTGAGTTTCGATATCTCAGCTCTGGAAGGGTCTAAAGCCTCCATTTTTGCACTCAGGTCTAAGTCTCATGGCCCTCTATCAGAATCCAGAGTTTTGAGAAGATTGGGGAAACTTAATTTTTCGCAAAAAAAAAAAACGAAAGGGGTAACACTGTCGTTTTTTTTCGGGTCGAAATTTTGAGTTTCGATATCTCAGCTCTGGAAGGGTCTAGAGCCTCCATTTTTGCACTCAGGTCTAAGTCTCATGGCCCTCTATCAGAATCCAGAGTTTTGAGAAGATTGGGGAAACTTAATTTTTCGCCCAAAAAAAAAAAACGTAAGGGGTAACACTGTCGTTTTTTTTCGGGTCGAAATTTTGAGTTTCGATATCTCAGCTCTGGAAGGGTCTAGAGCCTCCATTTTTGCACTCAGGTCTAAGTCTCATGGCCCTCTATCAGAATCCAGAGTTTTGAGAAGATTGGGGAAACTTAATTTTCGCCCCAAAAAAAAAAACGAAAGGGGTAACACTGTCTTTTTTTTTTTTCGGGTCGAAATTTTGAGTTTCGATATCTCAGCTCTGGAAGGGTCTAGAGCCTCCATTTTTGCACTCAGGTCTAAGTCTCATGGCCCTCTATCAGAATCCAGAGTTTTGAGAAGATTGGGGAAACTTAAATTTTCACCAAAAAAAAAAAAAAACGAAAGGGTAACACTGTCGTTTTTTTTTCGGGTCGTAATTTTGAGTTTCGATATCTCAGCTCTGGAAGGGTCTAGAGCCTCCATTTTTGCACTCAGGTCTAAGTCTCATGGCCCTCTATCAGAATCCAGAGTTTTGAGAAGATTGGGAAACTTAATTTTTCGCCCAAAAAAAAAAAAAACGTAAGGGGTAACACTGTCGTTTTTTTTCGGTCGAAATTTTGAGTTTCGATATCTCAGCTCTGGAAGGGTCTAGAGCCTCCATTTTTGCACTCAGGTCTAAGTCTCATGGCCCTCTATCAGAATCCAGAGTTTTGAGAAGATTGGGGAAACTTAATTTTTCGCCCCCAAAAAAAAAAACGTAAGGGTAACACTGTCGTTTTTTTTTTCGGGTCGAAATTTTGAGTTTCGATATCTCAGCTCTGGAAGGGTCTAGAGCCTCCATTTTTGCACTCAGGTCTAAGTCTCATGGCCCTCTATCAGAATCCAGAGTTTTGAGAAGATTGGGGAAACTTAATTTTTCGCCCAAAAAAAAAAAAAACGAAAGGGGTAACACTGTCGTTTTTTTTTTCGGGTCAAAATTTTGAGTTTCGATATCTCAGCTCTGGAAGGGTCTAGAGCCTCCATTTTTGCACTCAGGTCTAAGTCTCATGGCCCTCTATCAGAATCCAGAGTTTTGAGAAGATTGGGGAACTTAATTTTCGCCCAAAAAAAAAAAAAAAACGTAAGGGGTAACACTGGTTTTTTTTCGGGTCGAAATTTTGAGTTTCGATATCTCAGCTCTGGAAGGGTCTAGAGCCTCCATTTTTGCACTCAGGTCTAAGTCTCATGGCCCTCTATCAGAATCCAGAGTTTTGAGAAGATTGGGGAAACTTAATTTTTTCGCCCAAAAAAAAAAAACGTAAGGGGTAACACTGTCGTTTTTTTTTCGGGTCGAAATTTTGAGTTTCGATATCTCAGCTCTGGAAGGGTCTAGAGCCTCCATTTTTGCACTCAGGTCTAAGTCTCATGGCCCTCTATCAGAATCCAGAGTTTTGAGAAGATTGGGGAAACTTAATTTTTCGCCCAAAAAAAAAAAAAACGAAAGGGGTAACACTGTCGTTTTTTTTTCGGGTCAAAATTTTGAGTTTCGATATCTCAGCTCTGGAAGGGTCTAGAGCCTCCATTTTTGCACTCAGGTCTAAGTCTCATGGCCCTCTATCAGAATCCAGAGTTTTGAGAGGAGATTGGGGATACTTAAGTTTTCGCCCAAAAAAAAAAAAAACGTAAGGGGTAACACTGTCGTTTTTTTTTCGGGTCAAAATTTTGAGTTTCGATATCTCAGCTCTGGAAGGGTCTAAAATTTTTGCACTC